CAACCCATTACACGATGGGAAATAGCACATACCTTAGACCGTTCATATTTTTAGGAGAAAAACCACACCCCTACACTTATCCGGTATTTTCCCTTTAAAATGCGCATTAAACCCATTCCTTTGCTGACCACATATGGTATAATATGTCAATTGTAATATTTATTACTAATCAACATTTTTGTCTGGCGTTTGGATATACCTAACAACTCTTTGGCTATTTTTTTTTATCATATTATCCTGTACAATTTTCGTGCAACTAAAAATGATTTCTATAATTTTTTTTTCCTCTCTCGAGAAGAAAAAAATGGAAGAATCAAAAAACTTAAATAATAGGGACATACTTTTCTGAGTATTACTGGATGACAAATTTGGCAATATGGTAGTGTAGGTCGTGTTGTACCATAATTTATCCACTCGCACGATAAATCCAATGTACAACGCGAGACGTGAGAGATAGTTTCCTTTTTTATAAATTTCCTTATTACACCTCCGCCGGCATGCACCAATGGGTTGTCATATTTTCTACCATATACGATTGGCTTAAGAACATCTGGAATATACAAGATTAGGAGGACAACGTGGGAGAGTTTTTTTTTGTTGTTGTCATTTTTCAATTTTTATTACAGTAATTTCCAATTCGAGTGGAAACAAATTATGTTATACCGATAATAAATAACACACCGTCAGTGTATAACATAATGATGCTTCTGGTGGTGGATGTCGCTCGGTTGAAGTTTCGCAGTAAATAACCCGTGCACAATTTTGATAAAACCCTCTAACGCGTTATCTACGTGTTCGGATTGATTAAGCCGCCACTAGGAAATCCGCAAAATATTGCACGAAATCACAATTATTTTTCTGCCGACTCGCTAATATACAAGTAATAATAATAACACTCTACACGTACCAACGTTAGAGTGACATTAATTTTATGCTAATGCGCAACATCAACAAAAAAAAAATAACACCGTTAAGGCGTCAACTTAACCCAATGCTTTTGGATCATTCATCAACGGATAAACAGAGGTATACACATATTTTATGGTGTTTGTGTGGACCGCTTTGCAAGCCCGTCGGTTTTGAATCGGTCACTCGAAAGAATTCTCCAGTTCCAGAATTTTGACATCGAGTAAAAAGCACATTGAATAAAATAATATTGAAACGAATATACAGTTGTAAAGGAAGACGGATTCGTCAGCGACCTAGTCAACCCAAGACTGAACTCAAGCCGACCAAAGTCTATCGGTCAACTCTGTTAAGTGTGCTTCGTGTATCTGTCAACTAATCTCTGGGCATCGTAAATGATCAAAAAGAATGCCATTGAAACTATCGTCGAACCTATGTGTTATTCAAGCGAAAATGGATGGTTATTTCAACGTGGATATTATGTTATTGGGCTGAATACAAAAAATTGCATGTCGCCATTTTCGCGTTACACTTCCACTTTGTGATAGGAGATTAGAGATGAGAGATAAGTGATAGGAGATTAGAGATACGAAACATGAGATAAGAAATCCAAGATTGAATGTTTTTCCGTGGAGTGTAGAGATTAACTATGTTTTATTTTTTTACAATATTTTCTTACGAATAGACAAATTTGCGGTTACCGTTATACTTGTACGCTATGCGCGTTGTTTACTACCTGTTTCGTTGGACCTCTAAGTAAACGTTTGCCGAAATATTTGTCTTGCCTCGGGACGTGCAGCTGATGTGGAGATGTTCAAATAATAAATTACACGGCGATCAAACCGATCGTATACTGGCGTACCGTATCCTACGGGAACAGTCAAAATATAAATAACTCTGATGGGCTCTCCCGTGTTGTGGATTCAATGCAGCACGTTCTCGATGCTACTACTGTACGACCTGCCAACGTCGACATGATTTATTTGCCGATTGTGAACGTTTTTGACATGCCGCCGGCGAACACACATATCCGCCGTGGCCTTTTCCAACAAATCGTTCACATGTTATCACTGTATTATTTTTCATTGTATTGTACCGTTATAATATACTTAAAGACGACGACAATAAGATTGTATGTGTGTGTCACGATAAAATAGTGCCCATCAAATAAGCGAAAGACGGGTCGAGTCTATACTTTTTTTCTTATATTTGCGTTTCGATTGAGTATTGAAACCGATGATCAAAGTTACAACAAACACAACATGTTACATAATGGCAAAAATCCAACGTACCTTATACTGTCTATCTTCTTACATCAACATAAAGGCATCCCCATTTTGCTGCATTTTCATTTAGCCACACGCTTTGCTCAGCCTGCTCAATCCCCTGCGATTTGTTCGTTTTTAACTTCTTGCTGACACTCGATGCCATCTCGAGATCATCATCATCAACGTTCCTAATTGTGTGCCTGTATAGAAAGTATGGGTCTAGTTAAAAATGGTCAGAGAAAATTTTCATATGATGTAATGTCCGTTCAAATAAATTCTCTTGCTTAAATGTACTAATAACTAAATAGTTTTTTAGTAGGTTAATAATAGCTAACGAACTAATTAGCGTTGTCCAAATTAGTCCAGGAGTTTCCTATAGTTATTATTTTTTATAAACACTAGAAAAACGTTATTAGTTTCACTGGCTCTAAGTACAAACCTAATCCCTGTTGTGCGCTCGTTTCGTCCATTTTACTATTGAGTCAACCAAACTGAATATTACAGTAATATTTGAAAAATTTAACGATTCTCTGTATCTGACACCACTGAAAAAAAATTACTCAGACCACTTCACTTTTGATGAACTTATTTAAAAAAAAACAATATTTCGCTGTCATAAAATTCAAGTAACGTTCTTATGACACGTATCATCTTTGAACCGCAATTAAGTTTTTTTTTCCTATTAATTTCAAACATGGGTGGTTTGCTTGAAACTATCTACTTTAATGACCCACAACAAATGTATGTAACAATTACTTAAGGGTTAGTAGAACATCTAATAAAGGAGTTGGGTAATGGAGAAATTATTTGAACACCAATAGATGCTCGTAGAAACTGTACAGCGTTGAATAAAACAATATGTGCCGACAGCGATAATTTTTGTTCTCGAATTGGAGCGCATAAAATTAACTGTCGCGGACGAAGATAAACGATTTAAATTAAATGTTTTAAAAGATAACCGTGCAATATTGATGGATTCGACCTTTTCCGGATAGATAATAAATCAAAGTGGTGCGAAATTAATGAAATCGCGTTAACAACATAAAAATATACCTACAACGGGTGTGTTTTTTTAGCCGCCAATAAAACTTTGACATTATTAAAAAAAATATATATACAAATAAAAAATTGTTGCCGGAAAACCAAACCAAAACGGAGGAAAAAACCACACTTACAACAATATTGAAAATATCTTCTCGATGAATAAAGTATAGTACAAAGTGCTAATACAGACAGAGGGCACTCCTCTAATGGCGTGGTATGAAATGTCTGGTAAAAAGAATTATGGCCGTGACATCGTCCCAAAGGGCTTTGCCTTGGACTGAATATTCCCAACTAGGTGCGGCAATATATTCACTTGTAAATCCCGTTCAGACGGTCGAACAAAATCAGCTTAGAAGACGCCCCCCCCCCACGGTTCGATATCTTAAAAAAACCCTAAATTAAAATAACGTACAAAGAGTTAATTGTCTAGTGAAGGTACCTGCTTGTAAATCGTTTTAGTTGTGCTCTTAAATAATAAATACTAACGTTTGACCGAGTTTGGTAGCAAATTAAAAAACCACATTCCTCCCATCCCTCACCACCCCTCAAAGACGAGATTGTCAAGTCCAGACCAAATACAGGCTTGATAAGGTAATGAAAATGATCGATAAAAATGAACAGGTAAATAGTTACAAACTACAAACATTGAAAGGACTGAAATTGTGCAAGATGCATACCTGACCAAACCCAATCCAACCAATAAACGGCTTTATCAGTGCATAATCAAACGAATTAAAAAAAAAAACACCATTGATTGATAACTGAGAAGTGCTTAATAGGAAGCCAACAATTTCAAAATATCACATTTTCCCATTAAAACTTAAAAATGAGTGCTGCATTTATTTTTATTTCAACAAATCTATCACTAAAAAATGAATGTAGGTATTTTGAAAAACACTAATTTTAAGTTTTACAGTTTTTAGTACCCCAAGAGTCAACAGTGCGTTGCACTATAACTTTGTTTTAAAACAGTCAAATTGTTTTAGAATATTTTCAATAGCACTGTCGATAAATGTAGACAAACTAAAAAGATATATTTTAAACCCTTTTTCCCCTGAAACATGTTTTAGCCTTGCTCCCCCCCCCCGCTCTAAAACGACACAAAATAGCGTCACGAAAGTAGCGGTTGCTTTTTATCTAATAAGTGTATAATATATATATAAGAACAATTAAATGAATGGTTAAATGTATCCAAAATAACTGACCCGGTGAATGTTGCCAACAAACCGATTAAGGTCAAATATTAAAAAACTACTAAAAAACATTTGGCCACAATCACGTATTAAGATAAACTGGATAGCCAACGTCGTATAATAAACCATTATCAAATTGAAACCAAAGTGCAAAATTCATCTAGCGACACTTATCATACTAGTAGCAATTCACTATACTAAAATTACATTTTGTGTTTTTGCCATGAATTTATTGGTTATATTTCATTACTACACTAGTAAGATAGTATAGTCAATTGCCACTATTATGATAGATGGCGCTAGATGAATTTTGCACTTGATGTGTCCACTTTGGTTTCACCTTATCATGTAGACCTATGGCTATCCAGTTTATCTTAATTCGTGGGCACGACATAAAATTAACACTGTACCGCCATCATATATCGCCAGGAGATTATAGATCGGAAATAATCGCTATTCGAAAACCAGCAGACTAAAGCGTGTTCCATTTTTTATCATTTTAACCGTTGGGCTTCAAGTAGACCGTAACTATTTCTCTCTTTTTCTTTTACTGGAAATATAATTTTTTTTTCTTATTTTTTTTTTACAGGAGCAAAGTGGCTGCCGCTTTGTTGAACAAGCACCTGCAGATCAACGGCATAAGTGCCCTCGGAGCGCTTTCCACATCGGAAGCCGTCAAGGACGTGGACGTGGAAACGGACCCGGACTCCGGGGCTTTCCGACCAGCGGCTTCGAGCAACAAAATGAAACGGGAGAGGAAAGCCGCCCGTACGCTGGGCATTATTATGTCGGCGTTCCTGGCGTGTTGGCTACCATTTTTTACGTGGTAAGGATAAAAACGTACACGTCGACCTATCCTCTCTCTCTCTCTCTCACTCTGTTTTGTCGATGAAATGTTTATAAAAAAAAAAAAAAACCCCGTAAATGTCCAGAAAACGTTCTAGATTAAAAAATAAATGTATTATGACCCTCCCCCTACCCCTTCCGCCTCAGTTCCCAGTTGGTTGTTGGCAATAAGTTTTATTTCTGCCTACCGAGATCATAGATGGCCGATAACGGTTTATTTAAAAAAAAAAATACCCAAACAGATAAACGGTCTACGAAAAAATAATAGTAATAATAATGACGGCGCTCCATATCTTTTATTCGAAATAGTCCAATTAGTTCCAAATTTTGTAGTCAAACATATTTTTAATTAAAGAAAAACCAAAAAATAGGGAAAGATTACACACTATGACCGTAGTCAGTTTTTAGGTCATACATACTATCCACACATTAGGTACATATGTTACTACATTTTTCAATATTTTGAAAATGTTTATCACCAATCCTTATAAGCCAAAAAGGGAGATTTTTGGTTTCTTTTAACGGCAACATATATTTTTAACTACATAAGTTTGTAGACAAAAAATTTAAAATATGTTAGCGTTTAAATTTGTCATTTTCATTTGCCCGTTCATTAGCTATGACTTTGTTAAGATACTACATTTCCTCTTAACAATTATCATATTTGTTCGGTTTTCCAAATTCGGTAGCACATCAAATTCATATATTTTATGTTCGCATTGTCCAATTGTCGATAACATTCTAACAACTGGGATTTCGCTATAAAAAATCTAGAACTAATGTTATTATCTACAGATTACACAGAAGCCAAACTGATTAACTGCGCATAAAATGAAATTTTTCAGGACAGGCAGTTAAAGTGATTAATTAAAAAACAATGTACGCAATTACAATTGCCAATGTACCGGTAAAACCGGGTTACTTGAGACTTTAAGGGTAATTTGGGACATGAGTAAAACAATATATATTAAAAATATAAATAGTGTTTTACTCATGTCCCAAATTACCCTTAAAGTCCCAAGTAACCCGGTTTTACCGTACTTAGCGCACTCTAGTGGTGAAAAATATAACTATGGAGTTGTATTTTATCTTGGCCACTGAAAATTATACACCTTTTTGAGAGAAAATGTGTGTCTTACTTGTCTTGTTGGATCACCATGTACATGTACCATTACATGTTTGTCTTCTGTCGCAGGTACCTGACGGGTTCGCTACTGGACGGCACCGCCTGGATGCCCCGGTGGATCACCGTGCTGGTGTTCTGGGTGGGCTACTTCAACTCGGCCCTGAACCCGCTCATCTACGCGTACTTCAACCGCGAGTTCCGCGTGGCGTTCCAGAAGACGTTGCAGAGCTGTTGGCCGCGGTCGCCGCCGTGGTGCCCGCCGTGCCTGCGCCGCCGGTACGACCACGCCCGCAACGACACCACCACACCCACGGCTTTCGGGCAACAGCTGTGCAACAGCAACGTCTCCGAAGTGCACTACATGAACCCGGCCACGATAGGTCTGCTCGACAACGACCGTGTGGAACAGAACGTCTTGTGAAAATACATTCACTTCGTTGACGGGGTTAGGTGAAAAATAAAAACAATAGAGGCACTGTTTTAAGGTATACGACAAAAAAAACAAAAATCCAACGAAACCGTAAAAAATAAAACCATAATTTTTTTTTGGTAAATACCAAAAGTATATATTCTTGGGTTTGGCGTCGACACGACAAACGCAACTGTCCGTCTACAACAACGTTAGTAAATAATTGTACAGTATAATATGTTATATTATAAAATATATGTTAACGATATTCGTGTATTCAGGGTAAAACAAAAAAAAAGATTGTATAGGCAATAGCGTAGTGGACCGAGTCTGAGAGAGCTCGACAAGTGGACCTAACCCGACGGGACCTCGTTGCAAATACATTTTATAGAAATAAATACAAATTATAATATGTTATAAAGTATATGAAAAATAAATCCAAAAGTCAATGTCTCACAGCGCCCGCCATTTTGTAAATTCGACAAAAACCGTTTTATTTTATATTGAAAATGACTATATTACACTTACTGCCCGGTTGCACCAAACTTGTCATTATTTATTGGTAAATTATTTACCACAGTAATAAACTAACTTTTGTTTAACTTTATCTTTTGTTAAATTAACATGAGTTAAATTCAGGAGTGTTCCTCAATCGTGGTTTTATATTCAGGTTATTACCAGTAAGCTGGTTAATGGTTTTTGAATAAATGGTATCATCAGCAGCAGAGTTAATATTATTAGCATACGGGGTCTAATCAATGATAAACTGATAACGCGCATTTCCATTATCACCACTTTAACGCAAAACGTTGATAACAAAATTTAACTTTACATAATATTACATTTTTACACAACGTTAAACTTAACAACAGATACAATTTAAAACATGGTTTATGCAACAGAATTTATTTCAACTCCAGTTAATCTCTGTGTAAACGTTTAGTGCAACCCGGTATTAATAGTGTATTTTAAAATTTTAAAAATCTACCCCCAATATTATTTTGATTAAAAAAAAAAGCCACTCAAAGTTTATCTATGTGTGAGGCCTTAAATACAAACTGCAACAGTTGTCGGTTAATAAAGTGATTTTTTTTAAACAAATGTGTGTTATATATGTTTGAGAAAGTGGATAATTATATAGTTTATGTACACTGTATAAGTGTAATTTACTTAACCTAACCTAACGTGTGCGTGTGACGGTTTTCTGGATCCTTCTATGGAGAATTATCCGAATGACTGATTCAATTTCTACACTAGGGCTGCGGTAGTCATAATTATTGTTTTTGTCAGCCCGCGGTGGACTTGTGTGGCCGTTCAAAGGCAAGGTACATGTAGGTTTTTTTTCTTCATTCGAAATAACATAGCGACCAGCCGGACCCGGCACGAGGTAAAACCGCGCATAAAGCACAAAAAAATAAAAGCCCATCTCGGTGGTAATGGCTCGGTTTTGATTAGCGTCGGTTTACATGCAAACAATAACGTACATACTTGGGCAATTAGGCTGGCCAAAGTTGGAAACAAAAATGTACCCCAACCCCCCCCCACCCTTGGGGTCTTGACTGTTTACAAGGGTCGTGCAAAAGGCATGTGCGACCTTTGGCAGGGCAAAACAACAACGTCCACCGGGTTTAGGTACTAATTATTGTGTGTGCAAACCTTTTTCCGCTCTGGTAAATTTTGATAATTACATTAATTACAAATTTTTGCGGCGAAAAAAGTCCACTTTCGAAAGACTCAAAGTCCCAAAAATTCACAATTAAAAAATAATTTAAAAACAAACCCCCCCCCCCCGCCCTGTGTGAATCTTTTGCAAAAATACAATATTTCATGGAAACAATGAAAATAAAAATTTGAGTTGCTACGCTTTGGAAAACCGTGAAAAAATGTTTAAAATCATACGTTGTTGTATATTTTCAAGTTATTTTTCCGACCGTGATTTACATTAAACATTTTTAACCCAATGGAAATATCTAAATGCAAAATGACTATGAAGATTTTATTAGTTATTTGGAACTCAAAGATGTAAATAACAGGCATTGTACTAACTGAGTTATTTCTGACAAAAAAAATCCAACGATTTTCAGTCAAATGTTGTACTTTAATTTTACAACAAACTTCTTGTAAAAGGGTTAAGCTAACAATTAAAATACTTAAACCGTTATGTTGATCAAATATAGAATATAATACATTTTGATTCGACAAACTCTTAGTATTGTATTATATTATATAAACATCCCTGCAGTTAATAACTTTAAATGCGTACATAATAAGCTTATAAACTTATAAGTTTAGTAAGTAAACTCCCGCTAAATCCGAAAGAAGTTTAGAAGAACTTCAATGGGAATTTCAAAAGAAATGTTATGTATTTTTTTCTATTTACTAGAAATTTCTCAGACTTATTAGCTGATAACGGGTTTTTTTTTTAACCAAGTTAGTATTTAGTCAGCAATTGGATCTATATAATAATAATACTAGTATATCTAAAATTATCATTTTAAGCGCTTGTTTTTTAATAAAAACATGTGTATACAACAATAATAAATAAATTATATATTTAACGGTATGTCGTTTAAAACAAGAAAAAGAAATAATAATACTAAACGTTATAAGTCGTTACAAAATATATTTTTTGGTTAGTTTTAATATTTTACTATCGATTTAATACAAATAATAATAAGCAAATTATAAATAATTGTTATATAATATATTTTCAAATTGATTACATTAAATTATAATGCAAATTAAATTACTTACCGCACAATCGCTAGAGCTAATGTCAAAGTACAAAATTTATTTTAAAGATGAAATCGACCGTAAAGTGTTAATATTGTTATACACAATAATATCCATGTCAGACGTCAATCTGTTTAATCATTATTTATTGTATTAATATAAATAACAGTAATGTATATATATATATATATATATAATTTAAAAAAAACTTGTATTTAGCAATAACCATATAAATTATACCCATAATATTATGTTACATTAATGATAGTATTATTATTAGTAGTATATAAGTATACCTATTACCTCACAAAAGTGTATATTCAAAAACATAAAGTATTAACAAAGTTGTTCCAAGCAAATTAAAAATAAATATATATATAATAAGGTTATATTTTAATAAACACTTAGGTATGTTATTTCCTTGTACATAAGAACTCAAAACGAACCTACTTGCCCGATTTTATGCCACCACCGTCCTGTTATACTTAGTACATATACATAATAATATTATGTTAGATAATACTTTTTTGTTACCTATTACTTGTACTTATTCGTAGCTGATATACCTACATTGTGCTTAATCGATATAATACTATATACAAGATTGCCTTTTAATTTATTGTTAGTTCACAAATTATTGTTTTTTTTTTTTGTTATGTACATAATATTAATTGTTTGTGCTTTTGCAATGGCTGCCAATTATATGAATTTTGTTTTATTTTATAGTATAATTATTGAAAAAATCTATTGAAACAAATATTATTATTATTATACTAAATATAGTAGGCTAAATTAAATAACTATATTTTGTTTAAATTAAAAAAAAAACTATATAGAACCTATAATATATTACATATATATTATTATTATACATACATATATGTATATATATTTTCAGCCTATATATAATAACCCTGTGCTATACAACCCAGTCGTGCGTACCTTGTATACCTTTTAGAGAGATTATAATTGTATTTAAATAATTAGTAAATGTTTTTTTTTTTTTTGTTATTTAGGTTTTATTATTGGTTGTTAAAAAAATAAACGAATAAAACTATAAAAGATGTGTGTTTATTTTCTAGCAATAGAAGATTACATTATTCGATTCTATGTACAACCCGGGTAGGAGTGGGCCAAAGAAAGTCAACTTTGAAGACAAAATATTGTCGACTTACAGAAGTATAATAATATTATGTTTATAATACTTAAAGTTTAATATTATACTTGTCGAGAAGGCTTTTTGCTTATGCAATTTTGGTACACTCGTGTGTCCGTCTGATTTCGGTTGCCGTTCGTTTAATTTAAATTGTTTTTTTTTTAATAGATAGACTTATACCATTTAATCCTAAACTTTTAATTACATTTAATAACCAACAATGGTTTACCTTTTGATAAATCTAAATATATCACTATTGCTTTCTTACTTTAATCCAGTGTTTCTGATAAAAATTCAGTGACTACAATATGTAAAGCATCTTCAATTTTTAATTTACTGTTTTTTTTTTGGAGATGCAATTCTTTATAAAATAAGTACATTTTATAAAATGTAAGATGAATATTGTTATCTCACTGCGCTACGACAGTTAATTATTTATTTATTTCTTATTGGCTATTGCTGATATTAAATCCATTTACAATATCTCATAATATATCTATTAGGTCACAACTGATAAATCAAAGTGTATGACTAAAAAAACACCCGCTTATTTGTAAGTGAAGCGTGCACGCTGTGGAAGACTAAATTTGTAAAATGTTGTGGTTAAGAATGTTAATTTACTGTTTTTTTTTTTTGGCGATGTAATTCTTTATTCAATGGTATATTTTATAGTTGACTGTACCTACCTGAATGATACTGTTTTGTAATAATTGAAGATCGAACACCATAAAAACCATTGCATGATTTTCAAAAAAAAAAATATCCATGCAACAAATAAACATAATCGTCGAGCAAGTTTTCGATTGATTTCAGACTAAACTATTTCAGTGGACGTCATCCAAAGTCTCTAACAGTTACTATAAATAATCATAATTAATTTGACCAAAGAAGTAACTTAGGTATTTAAAGTTGTTTCATTTTACTGCTTGCAAATACTAATGCGAAATGTCTGATTTTAGAGTATACGTAGAGTAATAAATATAACAAACGAATAACGGAAAAGTAGTTTATTTTATAGTTTTCATACAAAATTCTACATTTTTTATTTTTAATTGCTTTTGTGAAAATTCTACATTATAATTTTATATTATGTACCGTTTGGTCTATGGCCATGTTGAGCATTGGATCATTGGATTGAGATTTCTTAACATTTCTGAAACAAATAAATACAATTATTATTAGACTCGAACCGTTCAAAATAAATCGGCAAACACAACACATAATTATGCAAGAAGTTATTATGAACTTATTAACAAGCAATTGAAGTGGGTCTAGCGAGAAGTGACTAGGAATAATCATAAAACAGTTCAAAGGATATTTGTGAATAAACTTTTTTACCGTTGTTTTCCTATCCTATATGATTTCTAATATATTTTTATTAAATTTGATAAATTTGTCCTAAATTTTCCTAACTCTAAAAACTTTAAAAGTAACTATCCAAGACTGGTTATTGAAGCCTTTTCCCATTCTATACAATCGAAAAGAAACATTACCATATTGCAAAAAAAAAACACTATTTTATTCAATTTAATTTAAATCAATAAATAATTCCTATTTAATAACTAATCCTTACTGTACCTGTATTTTAATAAACTACACCCCATGGCGGCAAGGGGAACGTGGCCATTGAGACCATTTTGGCGGATTGCATCTTTTCAGCGCCCATTTTTGATTTTGGCTTGGTTCGTGGAGAACTCGTCAGAATAAAAAGACTGTAAAAATTCAAACAAAACAACAATTAATAATTACCGTCAAAAGTCACAATATTAAAACATGAACATGTACACAAACTCACCAAAGAGCAGAGGAGTGCACACACAAGTACAGTGTTATGCTAGATCCGATTGTGTCCGGCTATTTATACGGATATCGGTTTGCGTCAATAACAATCACACGATATTATTATTGTAATCTGGTTGCCCTCGTCTTAGACCCACACACAACATCTCTTATGCGATAAATATAGACTATCGATGAAAGTAGCATCACGGTTTGTCCGGTTAAAGTCCGACCACGAACAAACAGGAAAAGTACAAAATTTATTTCAAAGATGAAATTAACCGTAAAGTGTTAATATTGTTGTACACAATAATATGCATGTCAGTCGTCAATCTGTATAATCATTATTTATTGTATTAATATAAATAACAGTAGTTTATATATATATACCCATGTATTTAGCATGATAATCATATAAATATACGCATATTATTATGTTAAATTAATGATTGTATTATTATTATTAGTACATAAGTATATCTATTAGGTACCTAATTATTGTCCCGTCACGAAATACTAGGTAGATATATTGTCCATTTATCTTCTTAGGTATCTACATATGGGTTTAGGTAAACAGACGGAATACATCAAATCGCAGAGAATATAAATGGATAAGCCGAATAGTTGTGTAGGATGACCGAAACCGATACTTTTTCATCCCATTTTAATAGTTTGTGAAGTAAAATGTTTTATAAAAATTGATTTACTTAAATCCGTTGTTGAGTTGAAAATAATATGTAAGTAACTACTGTTCGTTTGTAATGAGTGAAGTTAGCCAATGTTAAAACATAAAAGTAGGCAAACTATAAAAATAAAAGGTTCACAAAAACCGTTATTGTAACTTTGTAAAAGTCTTATTAATACTTACTCTGCAATTTCGATATACCTACAATTTATGAGTAGATAATTGTATGTAAATTAAAACAATTTGTTAAAATTGTATTTATTAATAAGAAATTTATAAAAATAAAACTATAAATAATTCTAATTTATCAAGTTTTACAGATTTGTTTTGTTGAATAAGTATTTCTATACATACACCTTATTTTTTGGTTTGAATTGCATATTTTTAACACTTCCAAAGTAGTCAATTCAGAATTTAAAAGCTACAGTAATAAAACTGCAGAAAACGAATTTAATAATTCATTTTTAGATTGATTGCTAATAAATTTCTTATTAAAAAAAATAATTTGGTAGAACATTGTTTATTTTTATTAATACAAAAGAAAAATTCTGGTTATGCATTTATTTTAATTATTAAAAATTCAATTTAAACTTAATTCATAAAAAGTTTATGTATAATTAATATTCCGGAACTTTTATTTACATAAGTCATTATAGAACTATTTCTTGCTTTTGTGAACTTTTAAATAATTGTTTTTGTCGACATTTAATTTTAAAAAACTTTTAAATATCCGTGCCATGTACCTATACTGTTAAAATGGAACTTTTTGGAAAAATATATCTTGGAATTGAGGTTTTAATGCAGTTAAGCTCACAAGCGTTACGCTGAAGCTTTAACTCAAAATATTCAAACTCACTTCAACAGCATTCAATTATGGGCTAAAAAGTGGAAAATAATTTTGAACCCCTCAAAAAGCACAGCAGTTCAGTTTTCATTACGTCGTCCAAAAAACGTCCCCACCATAAGACTTCAATAGCGACTCAACTGAAGAACGCTAGTGGAGCACAGTTCTACAATCTTGGTGATCAGCCCATTGGACGAAGACTAAAACGTGGACGCCCACATTATTATCTTTTAAGTTTATAAACATATTGTCATTATTTATCTCCTTCTTATACTTTGAAATTGAACTTTCTATCTTATATTTGTATACAACACTGGGCATGTTTTAGTAGTTAAAGTAACTTTGTTATCCAACGTACTATAATCAGTGTTGGGAATTATCTAGATAATTTTATCTAGACAAAAAATTGTAATTAACATCTTATCTAGATAAAAAAAAGTAAATCATCTTATTATCTTATTTAGATAAACAAATCGGTTATCTGAGGTAATTAATCTAGATAGAAATTGTAACTATTTTTTAAGTTATTTATTCGTGGGTTTTACAAAAACAGGTTTCGGGATCCGACGACACGCATAATGTAGTCCTAGCCTAAAAATATTAATATACCTAGGTCCTAATGAATAGTGATTAGTGATATAAGAATATATTATTAATACATTGGGGTTGGCTTGATAGACAAGTCCAATATTCCATTGTAATCCAATGTATTTTAGTCGATTATACTAAACGTTTTTTACCTATTTTTAATAGGTAGAAGTAGATAAGAGTTATATATGTATTATCGTATAATTTAATATTTATATTCGTAGTTCTCGACTACAGTGCTCAGTTTTTATTTAATGTTGATAATTTTTTTCCCAGTACTCTCGAAATAATTACTAGTGCTATATAAAACGTGTTTATAAGAATTTTTACGATAATAATTTCAAGATTAACATTGACCTTTTGGTCCCAACAAAAAAAATGGTCGAAAGTGCAGGTGTTTATTTGAGCAGAATGGTTATAAATTATATTTTACAAATATATATACATGTCAGACGAGTCCTGTATCAGTAACTACATATAGGGTAAAGAGTAAAGACTATAAAAGTAAAATAGTAAATAGTAATACAAGTCCAATAAACAATGAGCCGTTTCCAAAAAGTTATTTGTATTTTCAATAGATAATAGTTATCTTTTCCCAACACTGACTATAATATGTTTTCCTTCTTTTTATTTTATTATAAATAGTGATCTTATTTAAAACCGACATATCGTTATTGTAAATTAACTCTAAGTTTAGATGGCACTAAGCCAGAAAAACTTTATATAATAAAAAAAAAAAAAAGCTCACAAGCGATTATATAATATTTCTTGATGCGTAACACAATTATAATGAAGTTAGATTTGTATTTTTGTTTCACATGTTTTTTAAAAGTACTCATAATTTACTAGGCACGTTCTGAGGCCAGACTCGAATTCACCGAAGAAAATCCAAAACAATTGCTTTTGTTTTGGTTCTTCTTAAAAAAAAAAAATAGTCAGAATTTGTTGTACACTGTAATAATTTGTCAAAAAAGTTGTGTAAAGAGAATTCAGCTTTTTTAAGTTTATCCTCGACATATTTTTTAAAAACTAGAAAAATCTATATTTTATAATATTATAATATTATGTAATACCAGCACAGTGCGCTCACAAAATTGCGATTATGACTTTTTAATCGACAATAAATTACAAGAGAGTCTATAACATTGGTAACATGAATTTTTGTTTTATTTAAAAATTATTTATCACATATATTGTTTTATTTATAACTGGCTTTAACTACCCGACTACATCTGGGACACCAAACTTTGCTGGAATTGCTAGATTTTTTTCATTGAAATTCTCTACTGTTTATCGTTTATTTTAATGGCCAATTCATTATTCGTTTGGCAATGTCGACCATAATGCCAGCAGTACAGCAAGTGGATTATATAATATTTCACCTTGGACGCACAACTTAAAACGGTATTTTGTATTGATGGTTGTTTTGTGTTTAAAATAGGGTCAATGGATCCTGTACATTTTTATTTTATATTTAATCTTCGATATTTAAACGAGCATATTTTGTTTTAGTCATAACGAAATATTATATTTTCCGTCAATATAATGGTGATTACATAAAAAAGGTTAACAATCCGGACAACCGGATAAAAAAGTATGATAATCTTTTTGAACTACAACGTTAAAAATTTCATCTTCCAAGGTAAAACGTAGGTACAATAATATTTGCTGCACTTTTCCTGTTTGGTCGTGGTCGGACTTTAACCGGACAAACCGTGATGCTACTTTCATCGATGGTCTATATTTATCGCATAAGAGATGTTGTGAGTGGGTCTAAGACGAGGGCAACAAGATCATTGCACTCAGATTACAATAATACTATTGTGTTATTGTTATTGACGCAAACCGATGTCCGTATAAATTGCCGGACACAATCGGATCTAGCATACTGCATAACACTGTATTTCTGTGTGCACTTCTCTGCTCTTTGGTGAGTTTATTGTGTACATGTTCATATTTTAGTATTGTTACTATTGGCGGTAATTAATAATTTTCGTTTTGTTTGAATTTTTACAGTCTTTTTATTCCGACGAGTTCTCCACGAACCAAGCCAAAATCAAAAATGGGCGCTGAAAAGATGCAATCCGCCAACACAGTCTCAAACGCCACGTTCCCCTTGCCGCCACGGGGTGTAGTTTATTAAGATACAGGTACAGTAAGGATTATTTATTACATAGGATATATATATTGATTTAAATTAAATTGAATAAAATAGTGTTTTTTTTGCAATATGGTAATGTTTCTTTTCGATTGTATAGAATGGGAAAAGGCTTCAATAACCAGTTTTGGATAATTACTTTTAAAGTTTTTAGAGTTGGGAAAATTTAGGACAAGACAAAAAGGGGTTGAGTGTAGCATTGTTTTTATTTGTGCTCCTTTTTTTATTCTGCGCTCCATTTCCCGTCCTAAATTTTAAACTTTAAATATAATTATCCAAAACTATTTATTGATCAGTCACAATGTTCAGAAATGTATTCTTAATTTTAACCGTTAAATAAAATATATAACCGCGTGACCGTTTAAGCTTCAAAATTTGATAGAGCTCTGGAAAATAAAATACACATTTAGTAATTTTATAATATTGTAAAAAAAAACAAAAATGTTTTCGAAAATTATGTAGTTATTTTATGAAAAAATTAGTGATATAATTAATATAGTTTCTAAAATTACAATACAAAATTTTGTATTATTAACACTTTTTTCTCTGTAAGTACATAACAAAATATTCAATTCACAGAAACACAAATTATTCTAAACAGAAATATCGATTAAAAGCGCTTTGGTACTCGATCCGTTTTAATTTATTATACTTAAAGAATAAGTTCATAATTAATGTTTTGTTTGAAAATCTATTTTTTACTATACTTGCTAATAACACTATTGCTAACATTAGTAAATTAGTTGGTTAAATATTATAATGATAATTTGTTTATTGCACAATAATAATTGAAGTAATATTTTAATAATATGAACAATTTACAATGCACTGTATCAAATTATCAATCAAATTTAATAAAAATATATTAGAAATCATATAAGGTAGAAAAACAACGATAAAAAAGTTTATCAATATATTTCCTTTGAACTGTTTTGTGATTATTTCTAGTCACTTTTCGCTAGACCCACTTCAATTGCTTGTTAATAAGTACAATATAACTTTTCGCATAATTATGTGTTGTGTTTGCCGATTTATTTTGAACGGTTCGAGTCTAATAATAATTGTATTTATTTGTTTCAGAAATGTTAAGAAATCTCAATCCAATGATCCAATGCTCAACATGGCCATAGACCAAACGGTACATAATATAAAATTATAATGTAGAATTTTCACAAAAGCAATTAAAAATAAAAAATGTAGAATTTTGTATGAAAACTATAAAATAAACTACTTTTCCGTTATTCGTTTGTTATATTTATTACTCTACGTATACTCTAAAATCAGACATTTCGCATTAGTATTTGCAAGCAGTAAAATGAAACAACTTTAAATACCTAAGTTACTTCTTTGGTCAAATTAATTATGATTATTTATAGTAACTGTTAGAGACTTTGGATGACGTCCACTGAAATAGTTTAGTCTGAAATCAATCGAAAACTTGCTCGACGATTATGTTTATTTGTTGCATGGATATTTTTTTTTTTGAAAATCATGCAATGGTTTTTATGGTGTTCGATCTTCAATTATTACAAAACAGTATCATTCAGGTAGGTACAGTCAACTATAAAATATACCATTGAATAAAGAATTACATCGCCAAAAAAAAAAAACAGTAAATTAACATTCTTAACCACAACATTTTACAAATTTAGTCTTCCACAGCGTGCACGCTTCACTTACAAATAAGCGGGTGTTTTTTTAGTCATACAATTTGATTTATCAGTTGTGACCTAATAGATATATTATGAGATATTGTAAATGGATTTAATATCAGCAATAGCCAATAAGAAATAAATAAATAATTAACTGTCGTAGCGCAGTGAGATAACAATATTCATCTTACATTTTATAAAATGTACTTATTTTATAATGTTATTTTTATATTTAACATCTTTATTTTTTTACCAACTAATTGCCTTAGTACAGTCCATTAAATAAAATGTAGATAATAGTTTCAAATTATTATTATGAAAAAAAAAAAATTTTAATTAAACAAACGACAACCGAAATCAGACGGACACACGAGTTTACCAAAACTGCATATGCAAAGCCGTCTCGACAAGTATAATATTAAGTAATTACTATAAACATAATATTATTATACTTCTGTAAGTCGACAATATTTTGTCTTTAAAGTTGACTTTCCTTGGCCCACTCCTACCCGGGTTGTACATAGAATCGAATAATGTAACCTTCTATTGATAGAAAATAAACACACACCTTTTATAGTTTTAATCGTTTATTTTTTTAACAACCCATAATAAAACCTAAATAACAAAAAAAAATTGTACTATTCGTTTAAACACAATTATAATCTCTCTAAAAGGTATACAAGGTATGCACGACTGGGTTGTATAGCACAGGGTTATAATATATAGGCTGACAATATATATATGTATGTATAATAATAATATATAAGCAATATATTATACTATACAGATTTTTTTTAAACAAAATATAGTTTTTAATTTAGCCTACTATACTTAGTATAATAATAATATTTGTTTCAATAGAGTTTCTCAATAATTATAATATAAAATAAAACAAAATTCATGTAATTGGCAGCCATTGCAAAAGCACAAACAATTATAATTATGTACACAAAAAAAAAAACGAAAAAACAATAATTTGTGAACTAACAGTAAATTAAAAGGTAATCTTGTATATAGTTTTATATCGATGAAGCACAATGTAGGTATATCAGCTACAAGTAAGTACAAATAATAGGTAACAAAAAAGTATTATCTAACATAATATTATTATGTATATGTACAAAGTATAAGAGGACGGTGGTGGCATAAAATCAGCTAAGTAGATACGTTTTGAGTTTTTATGGACAAGAAAATAACATACCTAAGTGTTTATTAAAATATAACATTGCTCGGAACAACTTAATTAATATATTTTGTTACTGAATATACACTTTAGTAAGGTAGGTGTTGTAATAATACAAATAAACAATGTTCTACCAAATTGTTTTTTTAATAAGAAATTTATTAACAATCAATCTAAAAATAAATTATTAAATTCATTTTTCTGCAGTTTTATTACTGTAGCTTTTAAATTCTGAATTAACTACTTTAGAAGTGTTAAAAATGTGCAATACAAACCGAAAAAAAAGATGTATGTATAGAAATACTTATTGAACAAGAAAAAATCTGTAAAAAACTTGATAAATTAGAATTATTTATAGTTTTTTTTTTATTGTACTATAAATTTCTTTTTAATAAAAACAATTTTTACAAATTGTTTTAATTTACATACAATTAATCTACTCATAAATTGTAGGTATATCGAAATTGCAGAGTAAGTATTAATAAGACTTTTACAAAGTTACAATAACGGTTTTTGTGAACCTTTTATTTTTATAGTTTGCCTACTTTTATGTTTTAACATTGGCTAACTTCACTCTTCGTACAAACGAACAGTAGTTACTTACATACTATTTTCAAGTCAACAACGGATTTAAGTAAATCAATTTTTATAAAACATTTTACTTCACAAACTATCAAAATGGGATGAAAAAGTATCGGTTTCGGTCATCGTATACAACTATTCGGCTTATCCTATTATATTTTCTGCGATTTAATGTATTCCGTCTGTTTACCTAAACCCATATGTAGATACTCAAGAAGATCGGTGTTGGTGAGTGGCGGCCCAATCCCTAAATCAAGTATGAGTTGCGGCCACATAACAATTACCACTTTATATAAGCCTATTAGCGTTACCCAGGAGACACCACGGGGAGGTTGGCTGAATTGTCTCCCAAAAATTTGTTTTTTGGTCAAGTTAAGGTCAAGTTTGGTCATGTTATTTGCCAATGAGCGTTCCGTCGTTGTCATTTTTTTTTTTTTTTAATATTATTGAGAGAATTTAAAACTTAAAGTTTTGACAAATTCAAACTGTCCGATCTCCTTGTTAGAAGCATTGTCATTTGTTCATCTCCAATAAACGCTTCTTTCTCGCACATTTTATTACATTTTCTTAATAATTTACTTCTAAATTTTATATACGTTCCGGGTTTGAATTTCATGTAGCACATTAACGAAGTTATAGATAAATATCTGGAATTTAGATGGCTAGTATAGAATGAACCGTTTAATTTTGAATACAAATTTTCTCAGCTGTTCGTGGTACGGTTGTAGCTGGCAGTAAATTGTGCCCAAAAGCTGGGGAGGAACGTCGCGTCTGGTGAAATGTAGTTAAACTAATTAAATCCTATAAGATATTGAGTGGATCTCTTTCAAAAAATCATCCTGTATAAGTGAATTGGCGATAAAAGTTTCAAGATAAATGGACAATATACTTACCTGGAATTTCGTGACGGCCTAATTAGGTACCTAATAGGTATACTTATGTACTAATAACAATAATACTATCATTAATTTAACATAATAATATGCGTATATTTATATGGTTATCATGCTAAATACATGGGTTTTTTTATATATATATATATATAAATTACTGTTATTTATGTTAATACAATAAATAATGATTATACAGATTGACGACTGACATGAATATTATTGTGTACAACAATATTAACACTTTACGGTTAATTTCATCTTTGAAATAAATTTTGTACTTTTCCTGTTTGTTCGTGGTCGGACTTTAACCGACAAAACGGGATGCTAATTTCATCGATGGTCTATATCTATAACATAAAAGATGTTGTGTGTGTGTCTATGGCGAGGGCAACAAGATCACTACACTCAGATTACAATAATAATATTGTGTGATTGTCATTGACGCAAACCGATATCCGTATAAATAGCCGGACACAATCGGATCTAGCATAACACTGTACTTGTGTGTGCACTCCTCTGCTCTTTGGTGAGTTTATTGTGTACATGTTCATATTTTAGTATTGTGACTTTTGGCGGTAATTATTAATTTTCGTTTTGTTTGAATTTTTACAGTCTTTTATTCTGACGAGTTCTCCACGAACAAAGCCAAAAAATCAAAAATGGCCGCTGAAAAAATGCAATCTGCCAAAACCGCCACGTTCCCGTTCCCCTTGCCACCGCAAGGCGGATCTTGGTAAAAAAAACAGGTACAGTAAAGATTAGTTATTACATAGGAATTACAAAATTGATTTAGATTTAATTGAATAAAATAGTGTTTAATTTTTTTTGAAATACGATAATGTTTCTTTTTGATTGTATAGAATGGGAAAAGGCTTCAATAACCAGTCTTGGATAATTACTTTTAAAGTTATTAGACTTGGGAAAATTTAGGACAAGACAAAGGGAGTGGAGTGTAGCATTGTTTTTATTTGTGCTCCTTTTTTTATTCTGCACTCCATTTTCCGTCCTAAATTTTAAACTTTAAATACAATTATCGAAAACTGATTATTAATCAGTCATAATGTTCAGCAATTTATTCTTAATTTTAACCGTTAAATAAAATATATAACCGCGTGACCGTTTAAGTTTCAACATTTGATAGGGCTCTCGCAAAAATAAAATGAAATATTTATGAAAAAATCAGTGACTTGTCCTTCGTGACTAAACGGGCTACGTTAGGTTTAAGTTTGTATAGTTAACCATTTTTTTTCTGTAAGTACAAAACAAAATAATGAATTCACAGAAATAAAAATTGTTCTAAATAAAAATATCGATTAAAAGCGCTTTGGTACTCGACCCGTTTTTAATTTATTATACTTAAAGTATAAGTTCATAAATGTTTTGTTTGAAAATCTATTTCTTACTATACTTGCTATACCGCTAATAAAACTATTGCTAACATTAGTAAAGTAGTTGCCTAAGTGTTATAACGATAATTTGTTTTATTACACAATAATAATTGAAGTAATATTTTAATAATATGAACAATTTACAATGTACTGTTATGCAATTGTAATTTTTTTCTTTGTCTCTTTAATAAAATTTAATAAAAATGTATAAGAAATCATATAGGATAGGAAAACAACGGTAAAAAAGTTGATCAACATATTTCCTTTGAACTGTTTTATGATTATTTCTAGTCATTTCTCGCTAAACCCACTTCAATTGCTTGATAATAAGTACAATATAACTTTTCGCATAATTATGTGTTGTGTTTATCGATTTATTTTGAACGGTTTCAGTCTAATAATAATTGTATTTATTTGTTTCAGAAATGTTAAGAAATCTCAATCCAATGTTCCAATGCTCAACATGGCCATAGACCAAACGGTACATAACAATATATTTTAATGTAGAATTTTCACAAAAGCAGTTAATAAAAAAAAAAAATTTAAAAATGTAGAATTTTGTATGAAAACTATAAAATAAACTAGACTTTTCCGTTATTCGTTTGTTATATTTATTACTCTACGTATACTCTAAAATCAGACATTTCGCATTAGTATTTGCAAGCAGTAAAATGAAACAACTTTAAATACCTAAGTTACTTCTTTGGTCAAATTAATTATGATTATTTATAGTAACTGTTAGAGACTTTGGATGACGTCCACTGAAATAGTTTAGTCTGAAACCAATTGAAAACTTGCTCGACGATTACATTTATTTGTTGCATGGATATTTTTTTTTTTTAAATCATGCAATGGTTTTCATGGTATGTGATCATTATTTATTACAAAACAGTATCATTCAGGATTTTATCATTCAACATTTTACAAATTTAGTCATCCACAGGGTGCACGCTTCACTTACAAATAAACGGGTGTTTCCTTAGTTGTACATTATGATTTATCAGTTGTAACATCTTTATTTTTTTAACAACTAATTGCCTTGGTAAAGTCCAATAAATAAAATGTAAGATGGTAGTTTCAAATTATTATTATCTATTAAAAATAAAACAATTTAAATTAAACGAACGGCAACCGAAATCAGACGGACACACGAGTGTACCAAAATTGCATAAGCAAAGAGCCGTCTCGACAAGTATAATATTAAGTAAGTATTATAAACATAATACTATTATACTTATGTAAGTCGACAATATTTTGTCTTCAAAGTTGACTTTCCTTGGCCCACTTCTAACCGGGTTGTACATAGAAACGAATAATGTAACCTTCTATTGATGGAAAATAAACACACACCTTTTATAGTTTTATTCGTTTATTTTTTTAACATCCAATAATAAAACCTAAATAACAAAAAAAAAAAACATTTACTATTCGTTCAAATACAATTATAATCTCTCTAAAAGGTATGCAAGGTACGCATGACTGGGCTGTATAGCACAGGGTTAAAATATATATAGGCTGAATATGAATATATATATATATATATATATATATATATATATATATATATACAATAATTTGTGAACTAACAATAAATTAAAAGGTAATCTTGTATATAGTTTTATATCGATGAAGCACAATGTAGGTATATCAGCTACAAGTAAGTACAAATAATAGGTAACAAAAAAGTATTATCTAACATAATATTATTATGTATATGTACAAAGTATAAGAGGACGGTGGTGGCATAAAATTGGGTAAGTTGGTTCGTTTTGAGTTCTTATGTACAAGGAAATAACATACCTAAGTGTTTATTAAAATATAACATTGCTCGGAACAACTTAATTAGTACTTTATGATTTTGAATATACACTTTTATTATTAACTACTATTATTTGTCCGTTATCAGCAGTTCATCTTCTGTTATCAACTCTTTGCCGGCAATCCTCAAAATTGATAACAATGATAGCTCTTATCATTTTATTTTTTTTTAAATAAAAATTTATATTATGTTATTACAACAAATAACCACAGTTTAAATAAAAATGTATCTAATCTGTATATTATAACTTAAAAAGTATAACATTTAATTTTCATTTTAAACTGTTTTTGTACTTTATTATTATTACTTGCTAGGTACTTCGTAATTAGTTTTAGTTATAGTTTCACTACTCTTCCTGCCAGTAACCTTGTTTGTAATTAGTGTAATTAATATGAAAAAGAGAGTCGTAATAACAGGCATGGGTGCCATTTGCTCAGCCGGTCTTGGTAAAACTACATGTTGGAATAACGTTTTACTTGGAAAATCATTTGTAAGAAAACTGGACAGCGATTTGTACAAAAATATACCATCGAAAATCGCCGCCACCCTGGACGGACTCAGTCTACCCGATACCATACCCAAAAGTAAGTTGCGTTCAATGGCTCCATCGACACGTTTAGCTTTACTGGCGGCGCAAGAAGCCATTAATGATTCCAAGCTTTTTGACCAGTCCGTCGACAGGGAAAACATCGGAGTCAGCGTAGGAATCGGAATGGTAGACCTGGAAGACGTGTGTCGCACGGCCAAAGCTCTAGAATCCAGCTACAGTCGGGTTAGCCCTTATTTTGTACCAAGGATTCTGATCAATATGGCTGCCGGCCATATCAGTATGGAATACGGATGTCAGGGACCTAACCACGCAGTGTCCACCGCCTGTGCTACCGGAGCTCACGCCATCGGCGACGGTTTTCGTTTTATACAACACGGTCAAGCCGTAGCAATGATTTGTGGAGCCGCCGAATCGTGCATAAGCCCATTATCGATGGCTGCGTTCTGTAGATTACGAGCGTTATCCACTCAAAACGATACGCCCGAATCAGCATCAAGGCCGTTTGACAATAGTAGAGATGGATTTGTAATGGGTGAAGGTTCGGCGATTTTGATTTTAGAAGAACTTCAACACGCGCTTGGTAGAAATGCTCAAATTTATGGAGAAATTGTCGGCTACGGCATGTCAGGCGATGCGGCACATTTGACTTCTCCGCCTGTCGATGGACAAGGAGCCTATTTGGCCATGGATAGAGCTGTCCGTGATGCAAATATCGACAAAACTCAAATCACCTACGTCAATGCCCACGCCACTTCTACTCCTGTTGGAGATTCGATAGAACTAACAGCGATAAATAGACTCTTTGGCGAACACAGCAAAAACATACACGTATCGTCCACAAAAGGGGCACACGGCCATTTATTGGGTTCTGCTGGCAATTTGGAAAGCGTCTTCACCGTCATGGCTTGCGACGAGGGCGTTATACCGCCGACGGCAAATTTAATCAACATCTGTAAAGAAGCTGAACGTTTGATTTGCGTTTCCGAAAATTCAGTAAATTGGCGAGAGGAGAAAAGATACGCATTGAAAAATGCCTTTGGTTTTGGAGGTACCAACGCGAGCCTCTGCTTTTCCAACTATGTCCTATAAGAGTCCAATTAAAGAATAAACAAGGTAAAATGTATTGAATATTAATTTTAATTAACTAAATGGATCGCAGAACGCCAATGCTGTGAGTGCTTTTTGATGACCTTCGTATTCACGTTCGATGTTGCCCGTTTCGACGTTCCACAATCTTGCCATGCCGTCTGACGAAGCTGAAAAATAAAACAGGGTTAAATGGTGGAAAAATGTACTTAAAAAACCAATATTGTTTGGTTGATAAAACTATTTAGAAATAGAATAGTTATCTGGTTTTAAGTATTAGTTTATTTTTTAAAAACCAATAAAAATGTGTTCAAACATAAATTCTATATGTTTTATAAAAACAAATAATTTTATTTATTTATTTATTTAGTAAATGGAAATGTATTTAATATTTTTAAATAAAAATTTACTTCTAGTCAATAACACGTTTGTCATTTTCTATTTTTTACTGTATCAGGCCTCTAACTACTACATCAGAAAAAAAATTGAGTAAATTTAGTCACATCTATACATTTTTTAAAAAGTGATCTAATTTAATGTTTAATTCATAATTGATAAAAAAAACAATAAACAAGTTTAATTTAAAACCACAAGTTTTTTTTTTCAAAAAGAATATTAGGATTTCTTAAATTTAAAGATATAAATTAAAAATAGAAGTAAAAACTATAAATTGTATCCAAATATAAGGATTTTTAATTTTAATAAATAATTATTTTAAAAAAATTACTTGAAATACCTACATTTTTATTTACTGTATGTATGTAAACTTATACTTATATAATTTGTTTTATTTGAAATAGTATTTTCATTTCTACATAAATAAAGAACTATTCAGAGTTGAAAAAAAACATTTATTTTAAAATTATTATTAGTCAGGTGGCACTGCTGAGAGCTTTCCTATTCACACATTATGTCATTGTATCATTGTCATCAGACTTGCTGATTATACATATTTTGTATAGATTGTAAATAAAGAAAATATATTTTTAATAAAAAATTATTATTATTTGTTATTTAAATTTGTTCAAATAAGAACACATTATTATTTGTTATTAAAATTTTTTTTTAGTTACTTTTTATTTCAAATAAATGTTTGATTTTAAAAGGTTTAAATTGCGTTAGTTTAAAAATGTAACTTTTAAAATGTTTTTGTCTTATAAAACAATATTAATTTTTAATTGTAGGTAAAATAGATGGAAAAAATCAACTTGTTAAGTAACAATTTTTAATAAAAGTTATTTGTTAAACTAAATTAAGACACATAATGTATTATTGTGTTTTGTTACCCGTTAACAAATGTTCGGAATCGTTACTGAATGCAGTATCCCACACCCATCTTTGGTGTTCGTCTTTCAGTTCTTGTTTCAAAGAAAAATCGCTGGTCTTCCATACGCAAGCTGTTTGATCGGCTGAAGAAGTCACCAATAGTCTAATGGCAAAATATGGTTATTATATTTTAAGTAACAACATCAAAAAAAAAAAAGTAAATAACAAATGAAGTAATCTTTACGTCGAGTTTGGACTAAATTTACAATGAAGAGCGTATTTTCTGTGGGCTATCATTTTGTGCTCTGGGCTGAGTCTGGTGCCGTCGCCATTGAATTTCCAAAGGTAACAGTTACCTTTGTTATTCACTGAAGCGACGTACTCTGCATTCGAATCGACGGCCACACATTGAATAGAAGCGTCGACTTCGGGTATCTAAATAAAAAAAGGTGGCAAGTTGAATAGATTTTTCTAAAAATAAAAAAAGTAAAAGATAAGCTAAAGTACTGTCAGTCCCAGGTGAATCACCCCATATTGGCACGGGCTGTTAAAAAAATTTGCCTTTGCCACTCACAACAACCCCGTTCTCTATCTCTCTGGGCAATTTAGAAATAATTACAAATTGTATACACTAGCCAAAAAAATCTTACGAGTTGTTCATTGTGGTCAGTCTTCAAATCCCATATGTGTAGCAAACCTGATTGGTCGCCTAAAAGTAATTCTCCTTGATTCGGATGAAGACATATACTAGTGATTGGAGCGTTTGTTTGAAATATCCTTTGACATTGTAAATTTCTAGATCTGTAGTAAAAGAATGAACCATTAGGTAAAGTTATCATCTCGTGTATTGTTATTACATTACCTTAGGTCCCAAACGCGAGCACTGCAATCTTCTCCACAAGTAAACATCCATTTACCGTCTTCATGAAAACCGACCCCGGTAATATTTTTGGATATTCCTTCATAGTTCAAAATAGGATTAGGATTACTCGAGTTCAAATCATACATTCTAATATGCTGGAAACCTGTGTGATAAAAGTATTTTAATAGGTTTGAACTAAAAAAAAAAAAAAAAAAAAAAACACTAGAGATAAAAATAATAATTTTTACCCGCAGCGGCTAAAAGTTGCCTGTCTGGTGTTATTTCCAATGCGTTTACTTGCTGTATGAATCTAGTTAAGTTCATATTTAAAATACTGTTTTCAAAAAAGAATACCGTGTAGTTTGTTATTTTACAATCAAATCTAAAGCTGGGCTACATATTATGTTCAATAAACCAATTATACATTTAGTGACCCGTGATTAGTTTAATTAAGTAACAATAAACTATTTAAATTTCCAATTTTCTCTATGACCCGCCAAACATACCGCAAACATAATATTATATGTTACATCATAATTTTTACAATGCAATCAAAGGATACAGAGTCCAAATGTGTTAAACTTCTGTTGCAAACGCCCGTGTTGGCGTGCCATAATTTTATCGTATGATCATAACCACCGGTAGCTAATAACACTTTTTCAGTTAATGCATTGTCGACCATAATTATTATTAAAAGAATATACAACTCGAGCTTAGGAAACCGCACAAAACATTTGGTTAACCATACAGAAAACGACTTCTCAATCGACGATTTTAATAATTAAAAATATAACTACAATGTATTTTGTTAAATTCGAGTTGTTATAAATAAATTTAATTCAAATATTTTTGGCAATTTCGTCCAACTTTCGGCAATCGGCTTTGGTTGTGTTATCAACCAGTAAATATTTATTAGCTATTATCACTAATTTTATTATCCGTGTGATAAGCGGCAGTTGCTCGTGCGGGTTAACCATATTATACCACGGTATGATACAATGAGGTAACCACTGAACACTATGGATATCAGAGATATTATTTTGCTTAGGTAGGCGATAATTGATAATAGAATAATTATTAATTTTACTTTATTTTTAATTTTTTTCTTGTAAACACCGCAGCCAGATAGGTATTGTTACTTGACAATAATCTAAAAAATAAATTAATCATATTTCACTACTTGTGCGAGCATAGTATTACTATAAGATTCTTGCAAACTGTTTCAATAATTTACTGCAGCCGACGGTGATTATCGACCAAGTACAATTCTATTCGATGGTCGATAAATTTACAAAAAAATAATGGCTAATAAAAGTAAGTAAAATAAAATAACGCTAAATCTATCATTAGTAGCTGTTAACAATACACAATTCGCTAGTCGTTGCGATCATGTGCGCAAACCCAATCTGGAGGTTTGGGTGTTTTGTGAGTAAGCGTTTATAGAATTGAACACAAATTTGTTATTATTATTATTAACACACAACTGTTGTATACCTATTTTATATTTTTGTCTATAATTTAACAAACTGCAAACATTTACACACAACTGTTGTATAAAACTCTTTTTTCTTTTATAAATCTAGGTTTAGGTGGTCCGGAAACCGAGGATCAAACTCGACTAAGGTTTCAAGTGGAACTAGAATTCGTCCAATGTCTTGCTAACCCAAATTATTTAAACTGTGAGTTAGTTTTATGATACAATAATATTGTTTTTTTTAACAAAATGCATAATTATTATTTGCAGTTTTGGCTCAACGTGGCTTCTTCAAAGAACAATCGTTTGTTAATTATTTGAAATATTTACTCTATTGGAAAGAACCAGATTACGCTAAATTTATTAAGTAAGCATTTCTCGTTAGTAAATTTTTAAGGTTCAACTTCGTAAAGTATCTAAACTTTATTTGTCAACAGTAATAAAGCTATTTATGAATCAATTTAAATTTTCTTACAAAAAAAAAAATTACTAATTGTAATTTAATAAATTTTTATACCTTTTAGAACATATTGCTATTTAATTTTTAATTTTAAATAAATACAATTTTGGATTTTTTATAGAAAATACTCAGATGCTTAAAAATAAGTTTTATTATAGATAATTATTTTAAACGTACAGAACACATAGAAAATACCGCAAAACTGTGTTTCTTTTTAACAAGTTTAGATGCGTGTTGTATCTAATTTAATCTGTATAAATAAGCCATTTAATTTTTATATAGGTACCCTATGTGTTTATATTTTTTGGATCTCTTGCAACACGAATCGTTTAGAAAAGAAATAGCGGCCGCTGTTTGTTCGAAATTCATCGACGACCAACTGTTGCTAATATGGCAACACTACACGAGACGTCGAACGAAACTCCTTCATACAGCCTACGAACACAATATGAACGTTATGAATAAGACCAATCCGCCGGCCATCGGTCAAGCCCAAACGAACGGCACCAACGGCATCATGCCATCTGCCATACCAATTCCCAAAGTTATGCCACCTTAAAAAAATCTACAATAAATTTCTTATTTAAAGTTGCAATAATAATAAAAAAAAATGGTGTTTATATAGAATATATATTATAATTTTACTGCTTTTTAAGGTTTAAAAAATATGTCGATTGTGTGATTAACATTGTGAACATAACACAAATAAATTGTATTATGAACTGTACAAAATGAAATTACGGCGTAATATGGTTTTTTACCCGAATAATAAATCCTTTAAATTTTTACATCATGTTTGGTTTAAAGTACAATCTACAAAAACACACGGCACACTGACCAATTATGTTCAATAATAAATAGATTTTATACTTTCCACTTACACTCCTTTCGCTCGCAAAATACTCGGACATTTATAGCGGTTACTACCCTGGGAAAGGGTTCAAAGAAAATCAAAACAAGTATAGTGATTACATGTAGTTTATTTACTTAGTGAGCCGAATAAAATAATACACACCTATTTAGCTGCACCTGCTAGTAATGTTTCACATTCCACCATAAGTTGACAATATTCGGTCAGTTGTTGCCCCCACAGCTTTTCAAAAAAGTTTGAACACTGCAATAATAACCGATGAATGATTTCCGTCAGTCTGCCCATTAACACTAAATCGCGAGCCGGTGGTCCAAGAATATCATTATTGCACCTCGTTTGACAATCTTTCAGAGCTGAAATATATACATCTAGTTGTCTTTTTATAGCCCGTTCCTTCTCCATAATGATATTACAGAAAAATGCAAATTATTATGGCTTATGATATTATATTGTGAACACTATACACTGGTGAGCAGCTGTGAGATGCCCGTCAGTAATATCATTTATTTATTTTCCCTCCCAAACCTTTTTTCAGTAACAACCTGGCCTTGAGCCGCTTTAGGTGTGGTTTGATGTCGTACAAAGTATCAAGTTCCGGCTGTTGACTTGACTAATTAGTTAGTTAGATAATAGTGTATTATCTATATATGTGGAGCCACTTGACAAACTGTCACTCAAAGGTTATATTGTAGGAAACAGATTTTTTGATTTTTGCTTTATTTATGTAAAAAAATTGCAAATTTTTTTTTTTTAACTTTACAAGAAACTGAAATTTTCAAATCAAAACTGGCTTATTATATAATAGTAGAGTAGCAAAAAAAAAAATCTCATTACAGAATTTAAATTAGACCATCCTATGTAGTCGAAATTTTTCTGGCATTTACTCATCGAAAAAATTATTTTTACTTTAAACATTATGTTTTACCAGGACATCCTCAACAATGTGCATCGGGTCTTGCCCAAAAATTATTATACCATTTCGAACATTTTATTACTAATACTATTTAATTTTTTAAACAAATACTATTTTAGAAATACATTTTACATTAGAAAAATTATTAAATATTTTGTTGAATATTTTTAATAATACAGTAATTTTAACACTTAAAAATGTATTCTGTGCGATACGCCATAAAAAGTAAGTATCTTTTAAACAAAAGATAATTGTTTAAAAATCTTTATTGTTTTGAGACGTCAACTGTTTTTAATGCGATATGACAGTGAAATTGCTAACTTTCTCATTTTTATCCCAGGCTTTCCCAAACTTTTTTTTTCTGATTCATTTTATTCAAAAAAATGAAATTAAAAAAAAAATGCCAGAAAATATAAAAACCCTATGAAAGATAGTACTAGTCACAATTAATTGCAATGTTCACATCTTAACTAAATAAACTGAATCCAGGAAATTCTAAAAAATTTGTTCTATATTTGTAATTTTCATTAAAGTTCAAATATCTATAAAGTATTTAATAAAAAAAATGCTTAAAAATAAGGTTTAGATAATTATTTTAAACGTACATAACACACTGAAAATACCACAAAACGGTGTTTATATTTTGGCAAGTTTAGATGCGAACTGAAAAAATAACTCAATGTTCTAGAAAAAATTATTCTGAGTAGTTTTATATTCAGTGTAAAAAATTCTCCCTAAAAAAATCTATGATACATTTATTGTTTTAAATTGCAATTTTAAAAAGAAAAAAAGGTGTCTATATATAATATATTATAATTTCACTGATTTTTTAAAGATTAAACAAATCGTCGATTGTGTGATCAACATTGTGAACATTAACAATGTTCATGAAAACATCAACATTAACTCGGAGAGGACACTTATAATGGTTACTACATTTTTGGGAAAGGGTTCGTAGAAAATCAAAACAAGTTTAGTGATTATGCGTAGTTTATTTATTACTTGGTGAACCAAATAAAATAATACACACCTATTTCGCTGCACTTGCTAGTAATGTTTCACATTCCACCAAAAGTTGACAATATTCGGTCAGTTGTCGTCCCCACATCTTTTCGAAATAGGATGTACATTGCAATAATAACCGATGAATGATTTCCGTCAATCTGCCCATTAACACTAAATCGCGACTAGTCCCAATACTATTGTACCTCATTTGACAATTTTTCAGAGCTGGAATGTATACATCTAGTTGCCTTTTTGTAGCCATAGCGCGTTCCTGCTCCATAATGATAATTTACAGACAATTATTATGGCTAATGATATTACAAACACGATGCACTGTATAGCGAGCAGCTGTGAGATTTCTGTCAGTCACCTGTAAGTTTCAAATGATTTATTTTCCCTACTTTATTTTGGGTACCAAACCTATTTTCGGAACTGTGCAAGTACAAGTGGCCTTCAGGTGTGGTTTAGTGTTGTCATACACTGTGTCAAGTGTCGACTGTTGACTAATACATTAGTCAGTTAGATAATAGTTTATTATATTTGTTGGCTCAACTCGACAAACTGCCACTCGAAGGTTACCTATGTAGGAAACAGATTTTTGATTTTATTGTGTAAAAAAGTTGGGTTTTAATACTGAAAAAAACTATCACAGGAGACGACAAGTCACAAGAGTTGCATTGGTCATGAAATGTACAAGTTTTCCCCTTAATAATATACAATACTGGCCGCACAACATACACGAATAGTGCATTTTATATAAATATTGTGTATGTTGGTACCCCTTCGAGTGGCTCTATGTGGATTTTCCGTGGCTGTGTGTCTCTTTGAGGTGTAATACATTTTAATTTTCTATTAATACATTCGAAAATACTTAACTAAAATTATAAATCCCCTAGTCAAAATCAAGTCTGAAGTCGAGTTGTAAAAATAATTCAAATAAAAATGTTCACAGATGTTATTCTTCTTTGACCGTTGACATCTATAATAAAAAAGAATCGCCTTTATGAGTAAAAATGTCACATAACCAATCGATTCACTGATTTATATAAGCATTGATTTTAGATAGATTTTTTAGATTTAGGTCTCTAATCTTTAAACTGAAAAAGAACAAAAAAAAAAAAAATGTTGACTACCTAGGTTACCTAACTTGAAATTCAAATTCTCTAGACTGACCGCTTGATAATGCTTATCACTTAAGCGCCACCGTTGGTAAATGATTTAGGGTTAAATTTAAATTTTGTAATTTCTTGTTTTTTACTTTTTTTAATTATAATTGTGTAATTTGTTACATTTATTTGTAAAGTTTACTTGCCCTTGTTAAAATATATTTATTTCAAATTTTAGTACAAAGTATTTCATTAAAAATATGATAGCATAATAAATATACTGGTAAAAAATCTATATTTTTAAGGTTTTTTTTTTTGGGGCCTAAACTCACAAGAACTCGTCTTTAACAGTTCACAATGAATAAGGAATTTCTCATAAAAGACTCGGTCACAACATTGGCTGTTGCTATTGCCGAACATCAGCTAATTCCTAATACCGTTCACTTGGCTAATTGCGTAGACAGGTTGAATAATGCATTGAATCCGCTGTGGATAAAAAATCAAGTGAATATTTATCGAAATCTTATTATATATATATATATATATTTTTTTTTTAAATCTAATTACTATTCTGAGTCACCTCTTGTAGTGATTTTTAAGAACTACTGGATAAATAACACTTAAATGTCAAATATAATATTTACAGGACGATATGCTTTGTTTGCTTGAAGTTTGTCTGCAAATTGAACCGACGGAAATTAATTTAATTGCCAAGTGTTCGAAAGCGTTGGTCAAGATAATACCAAAACTAGGATCATGTGAAGAAAAGCATGTTAAAAATTTAATTTCTTGGATCATGTCGAGTATTTTACACGTTAATGACCTAGAACATGACTCGACGGAACAATTTAATGACATTCTAAATTTGTATACCTGTACGTTACAATATTACGGCAGTCAAAATTCAAACAAAAACAATGAAGTAAGTTTTTTTGAATTTATATATGTAAAAAATATTGACAATCAACTTGTAGTTTTTATGCGATTTCTTAAACGATTATCATAACATTTGCGTACGCTTGTTGTACAACAATATTAAGTTAACTCATGCATATAATCTGCCGTACGAAGGAGGTCGATAAACAATTTATTGTAATTTTCCCAGGTGATATGTCACGTAATGTCTGTATTTTCATCATTATTAAATGAAATTAAAAGTGGAAAAATGGCCGAAAATACAACTCTTAAACTTGCTTGTGTACAGTTTCTCAATGCTACTGTCAGCTATTTAAAAGATTATCCGAGCGTGGACTGTGTTGGCACGTTTATTATTAATTTGTTGGAACAGTCGATCAATCAAAATTACAATCTACAACCTTGTCAAAAATTGGACGTTAGTAAATTAAATTATTTTTATGATTTTTACCCATTGATATAGAATAATTTTTTTTTTTGGAAAATAATTTTTAGATTTTAAAATATTCATTAAAAATTTTACTACAACTTGTAGACGAGTCTAAACTTTGGACCAATAATAATTTCAACAAACTCTTGTCGCTCGTTTTGTTATACTTACGGTATGGATTAATATCAGACTATTCTAAGCTGCCAAACGATTTGCAACCGTCTCCAATCGTCCAATGGGAAACGCCGTCACGTCTGGATATAGGGCAAACGGTAATATAATTTAATAAATGAGCGAAAGGAAATTGTGATTGAAAATATAGTTGTAAAATTTGTTTTCAACTTGCGTCTTTGTGTTGCAGACAAATTTGACAAATAAACATCGTCGAAAAAAAAAGATAATTACAGAATCCAAAAATAAGGTACCAAAATTATTTACGTTTACTGCCGACGACGAGGCCTTAATGAACGTGAGAGATTCGGATTTTTCCGAGGACGAACCTTCAATGACCGGTACGTGTGGACGTGGGGCGTGGGATGTACGACTATTGGCGGCACAAACGATGAAAAAACTATTCACGGTTAGTGTTGAAATGGTCATTTGCAAAATTTCTATTTCTAAAGTTTTATTATTAACTATTTTTTAGACTGTAGAAAAAAAAACGTTATTGGGATACTTATACACGATTATTGATGGCCCGATGGACATACAGAATTGTCTGCAGCCAAATGTCGGAACGTTCACTAGGGATCCTTGTTCAAAAGTACGAGCCACTGTTATAACCGCTATAACGACGATATTTAACGGTTCGAAAATATTTTTCGCTCAAGCTCAGTACAGGTAAAGTATATTACTATGTTAGTAAACCCAATGTTGTTTGTCGCCATTATATATATAAATCATTTTTTTTTAAATTTTTCAGAGAGAAAAAAGGAGCGTTTACAACGTGGTCGGAAACACTGGCCGACTATATCATCTCGATGCACGACACGCTGTTAAAAGATTTTGAGTGTGAAACACTCGGAGTTCGTTTAGTGTTGTTACACTGTTTTTCTACAATGATAACAAACACGGCGTACGCAAAAATGAATAAAAACCTCCTCGGATCGTTGTTGAACGTCTTACTTGTATTCACCAAATGCGAACCTTGCGGTAATTAGTAACCGTTTTGAATTTAAGCGGTTTTCCCTTGAAAACCGAATTATCGTTTCTAATAATTTTCATTTTATATTTTCTTAGAAAACTATTTGCGAATCGGAGTTCTACGGTGCCTGTCGTCAGTTTTCAATAATCCTGAACTTCCCGATTTTGAAAAAGACTTGTTAATTAAACACAGATCGGACATTATAAATCTCTGTTTGTATTTGTTTAAAGTGAGTTATCCAATATTTAACGATATTCTCAGGCAACTTGGTTATGAATTGTAGTTAAATTCTTTATTGCTTAACACAGGAAACTAAGACGGCCCTCGAAGGCGACCAAAATGCCCCACAGATGGTTTTGAGACGCCAGTGTTGGCAAATGTTAAACAGTTATTGTAACCATTACGACAGTTTAATTGAAAACAGAATGATAATCAACATCGGCGTTGAAGACATGAAATACACCAAACAGAACTTGCTACGCAAAAACGTATTGTTGTGTTTCAAGCAAATGTCTGCCATGTCCGAGGGTAAAAATTCTGTCGTAGTATTTTGTCTGACAAATAAAAATTGATAAAAAAAACTTATTTTATAGGTAAACACTGTGATTCGGCTAGACTAGAAAAATGGAAATTCATTTTTCGAAAAGTCGCTCCGCAAGTGTTTGAAGAGCGGAACGCTATGATTTTGTCCATTCTGATCGAAAGTTTTTCTACGATTGGTTCGGGATTATTTTCCGATCTCGAGGTAAAAAATATCATTGATTAACGTTTAAATGTGTTTCGTTTGACATGTACGTGTTATGAACTAGGACGAGTTAGTAAATCCTTACTGTAATGATCTCCACACGTTTGCCGTTTGCACCGATGTAAACATTCAGTCGGCCGCAATAGCAACTCTGGGTACGTTGATCAAGTACGACAAATTGTTAAATGTAAGTATCAAAACATTTATTGTGAACAAATATATTATGTTTATGTGTATTTAAAATTAAATGTTTATTTTTGAACCGGATTTTAGCAACCTCGCTATGTTGAACAAACCATTGACGATTTGCTTTATGTATCGTCCACGAACAATATACATTCCGTTCAAGAAAAACTCGCATGGACGTTCAATTGCTTGGCTGAAGTTTTAGTCGATAATTGGTACGTGTTTGATTGATTAAATAAAATTATGATATGTACATGAAAATAAATTGTATTTAGAATATTTTTACAAAAAAGTGTAGTCTTATTGAATAAAACTGGTTCAATGGTTTTTGTTCTAAGCGGTCTTCCAAAATATTCACTAAACTTAGATGCTTAATGAATCAATTTTTAATTACTGTGTGTGATGACTCAATGATTAGTGTACATATTTTAATTTAAAGGATGTCATATGAAATTGAAGACCTAAAATTGATAGCTTTAGTTAAAGCTACGCTTTCTACTTTGGACCGCAAACCGGTAATTTTTTATTTTTTTCCCTGTAATTCAATACAGCAAAAATATTTCATTATTTTTTTTTATTCTAACACAGTGTAGAGCTTGTGGTACCAGAGCATTGGGTCTTTTCTTATCGCTGATCGATAATACCAGTATCGCCGAAGCACAAGCTAGACCTCTGTTCCAGGAGTCGATAGAAGTGTTGATAAACATAGCCAACGGAAACGATAGTATGAAAGTAAGATTTCCAACAACGTTTCGTACTTTTTAACTCTTGGAACAATTTGAAGTTTATATATATTTTTTTAATAATATGATTTTTTTTTTTTAGAACCGCTGGAATAGTTGTAATTCTTTAGGAATAATTTACCAAACAAATTATTTACAAAAATTGCCAGTAATTTTACAAGTAAGCTAACCACTCGAAATAAACGATCCGTTTAGGGCTAAATTTAAATTTGTGTTTGTTTTAGAACGACATATTCAACACCTTATCAACTTTGATCGTGAGCTGCAGTAATTTCAAAGTCAGACACGTGGCTTGTTCGTCGTTAATGTTTGACCGCCGGGAACTGTATGGCGTGAACTATTTGAAAATGTGGCATCGACTGTTTGACGCTTTCGAAAACGCTCAAAACTTGCCACACATTTGCGAATACAAACATAAAGAAAAACTTATGAATCAGGTAATTTGGTGAAACATAATAACACTGCTTAAAAATATATAATATTATTTTTTTAACGATTACCAGCTTTGTGCGTCGTTTTGCAACCTTTGCCGCTTGCTAGAATCGTCCGACATAAGTAATTTGGCCGACCTGTTCGATTCCCGTCTACACCTGGCACGAGAAGAAATCGACAAATACTATAATTCACTAGACGTCACCAATTGCTCCATCCAATTATCGACCACTCATAACAATTTACAAAACTTGTTAAAACAGCCTCGGCTTACAGCCAAACAAATAGAAACCGTTCGGCATTTGTTGAGCATATTCAATTATCGTTAAATAGAAAAAATTATGGAACTTATTAAAATTAATATTTTATTTTATCGATAAAATCAACTCGTTTTTTTTGACGTTACGTGGTCTTTGTTTAGTCGAACAGGACGAGGACGTTTAAAGAAATTTAAGTCAATTTGGCTGTATTATTTGCCGTTTAATTATATAAAAAATATTTACAATTTAACTATACCACCCAACATGGTTTTCGTAAAATTCAATTACGACTTGGGGGTATAACACATTCGCTATTTTGGCAGGAACAATAGTAACGTCGTCTACGTTTCTCCATTTCAACAGGAACATTAATTCTCCGGAAGCATTAGTGGCCCCTAAGATTTTGTCCGGTTCATAACCTCCAACTTTTGCGGTCACCTCATCTTCATTCCTATCGAAAGATTATTATTATTATTAAGTAGCAATTTTTTTAAGTAGAGTACAAGAAGTAAGAAACCACAAGCGAATATTAACTTTTTTTTTAAAAGAAACCAAAATGTATTTAGTTTATGAGAAAATAGCAAGTAGGAAATACTGACTCGTTTTTGGTGTCATCGCTGCTACTTTCTGAATACTTATTCGCTTCCATTGCGTTCGTTAACCGTCATCTGTCTACTAAGTACAAACAATACTAAGTAGTAAGTAAGTATTATCCTTTGGCGTGGTCGCTATATTATTCTGACTCATCGGTCGTGGGCGTTCCATGAAAATGGTTATTGGTCATTTGAATATTAAATAAAAACATTTAAATACTCGCGGACGTACAAACAAAGATAAAAGGACAGGGGACACCCATTGTTTGTGTTTTATCCATGATTAAACAACTTTTTCTTTCCTTGATCCTACCACAGAATAGATAAACCTACCCCCACCACCCAACTAATCCAAAAATGATTAAAATTGAAATATGACCATTTGCAAGGCCATAATATCCACAATACCCTTATCACGAATCAAGATAGATATTACAATTAAATTCACTCATATTTTTTTCACCCAAAATAAAAGATACACCGACCCCGTCTTCGACAATCGCAAACATTAACGTCGTAACAAATTTATAATCGAAAACTTAATTAAGATTAAATAATAATAGCCGTCTCGTCTTCACATCTTCAACTGTTCTTACATAATAGTATTACATTAGTCCTGTAACAAAACAATTCACAGGCAGAATTCTACTTATAAATGTTATTATGTTATGTACATGTATGTGTATCAGTTAGGTCGGAATTAATTATTTTATTTTAATCATTGGATTTTACTGTTTATTTTTCAATTATTAAAAGCACGGTCTTGAAGATCTAAAGCCGTGCTTTTTATAGCACAGAGCACTTGACCGGCTTTATCTTCCAAGGCCGTGAAATTCAGTCTTATCTGTCGGCTTATCAATTTGTGATAACATGTTGGTCGAGATAACAAAATACTTGTTTACCGGTTATAAAAAAAAAAAAAAGTTCAAATATCAAAGTTCACGTCTTGTGATACCTATCCGTTTAAAACTAAAAACTCACCAAGTAGTCGAGTGTTTAAAATTTTGTATTTTATTTAAATTCGATAAAATATAAACATGAGTCTACAGAGCAAAATTGTGTTAATAACCGGTGCCAGTTCAGGAATCGGAGCAGCGACCGCTTTGCATTTTTCAAAGTTGGGAGCAAAGCTCGCGCTCACCGGTAGGAACGCTGTCAATTTGCAGAACGTGGCTGACCGTTGTGAAGGTGTGAGTTCGTCCAAGCCTTTTGTGATAAGCGGGGATTTGACAAACGAGACCGATACGAAAAACATAATGGACCGCACGTTAGCCCATTACAATCGTCTGGACGTTTTAGTCAACAACGCCGGCATGTTGGAAACGGGTTCCATCGAGAACACCTCGCTTGATCAGTACGATCGCGTAATGAACACCAACGTTAGGTCGATTTATCAATTGACCATGCTGGCTGTGCCCCACTTGATCCGGTCCAAAGGCAACATTGTCAACGTGTCCAGCGTGAACGGAGTACGCTCTTTCCCAAACGTCCTGGCGTATTGTATGTCCAAAGCTGCCGTCGATCAGTTCACCAGATGTGTAGCTCTCGAGCTGGCTCCGAAAGGTGTAAGAGTGAATAGCGTAAATCCAGGCGTTGTGGTCACGGAAATTCTGAAGAGGAACGGCATGAGCGAAGAAGATTATGCAAAGTTTCTGGAAAGAACCAAGGAAACGCACGCTTTGGGTAGACCCGGCACTCCAGAAGAAGTCGCCAAAGCAATTGCGTTTCTAGCAAGCGACGATTCCAGTTTTTCCACGGGCGACACTCTGTTAGTGGACGGCGGACGACACGCAATGTGCCCGAGATAATTTAAAAATTAGACTATGTATGTATAATTAATTGAAAATGGTAACATGTTTGTAAATGTAACGTTTGCCACCAAGTACTATATTATTGTTATTACCAAATTATAAATATTGTTATTCTTTAGTTTAAAAAAGAAATTATTGAAAATAATATACTTAAATATTATTGCGGCATTATATGCATATATCTCGGGGGTTAAGCACAAAGAAATAATTATTTATAATAATATATATTCACATTATACTTTTTTTGTCTACTGCAAATTGTCTTTTACACGATGCTTAAGATTTATTGTTTTTTTTTTTAATGTACTGTAAGTGTACTGTAAGTGATAATTTATAATTATAACGATATGTTAGTAGATGACGGTTTTATTTTGTGAACAAATGTCAAACTAATATATATGTAGTATACATTATATTGGATTAGATAGGTATTCATATGAATAATTACCATTCCAACTGGAAAAGAATGCACTCTACTTTGGTCATCTTAAATTATCTTCAGTGTATAATATCTGAGTTATAGGCTGTATTAATGATATCGGTCCAGTGGTTAAAAAGTCATCTATTAAGGATCAACGATTACGTTTTAGTTACATTTTTTAGTTTATTAAATTCTCACACTCGTCATTCGAAAAGCGACTTTGCATACATGCAAGGTGTATCGTTATTTTACCTCTAAATCACCCTATATGAACTTATTGAGTAAATTGTACAACACAATATATTATTCTTTAGAGAAAATACAATTTTTTTGAGTAGGTACTAAATTTATAGAAATCAAATAATATTCATGTATTATTTAAAAAAAATATAATATTTCTTTAAAGTCAAAATTAATAATTAATTCTTCTAATCGACGTTGGACTTAAAAAAGATTGCGTTTATATTAATGAATTATATTTTATTTCAAGTTTTGACTTTTACTTTTACTTTGGTTAGGTGTAATGTAAATAATATTAAAACAATATTCTTCATAATATAATTTAATTGCGCTTAAATTAATAAAATATGCTTCAGGCTGTCGCCAACGACCATACCACGTTGAATACACCAGTTCTCGTCTGATCACTGAAGTTAAGCAACGTCGGGCGTAGTTAGTACTTGGATGGGTGACCGCTTGGGAACACTACGTGCCGTTGGCATTTTTTGTTTTATCATTCCAGTTTTTATTATTTATTTGTATTTACCAATTACTTACAGACAAAACAATAACCAGGTCAAACAAACCATTAGTATAATAGTTGAAATAATGTATAATAGTCGGTAATATTGAATTTTTACAAAAGACATTTTAGTCTACAGACATGTAGATAATATTATACAGGTTCACCACCGACAAACATTATAAGTACATATTTAACCACAGTCTTTGTTTAAATTAAGATTTCACGAACAATTTCTTATATTTTGTACTCTTTAAAAAACAAGTGCTTTTTTCTATCCATATAATCCTTGTTCAGTATCAGTGTATATATTCAGGTCTTGTTGGGTTTGGTTTTAAATTTTCCCACTGTACATAGTTTTACACTGTATAATACAGTTTGAGTATTATTGAACGATTGTGTTTTAAGTGGGGAAAAATAATGTATAATTCAGCATTAAGTCGGATCTCAAAACGGTAAGTTCATTGTTAAATATTTGCTGGTGAATTTTTATGATATTTCTAAAGATTTTTGTCTAGGTCATTATGTAGCGACGTACCTACTATGGTAAAATATAATCTTTTGACAAAAGGGATTGCAGACTAGGTGCTATTAAGCACTGCAATTATAATAGGGGAAAAAATGTGCAACTAAGGACATAGTACTCTCAATAGGGCAGTGTTAACAAGCGGATATAAAACCTATACAGTATATAATATATTATACATTTTCAAAAGGAGTAAGTTCAAACTGTTAAAGTGGCCAACCATACCCGATCGAACAAAAAAACATATTTTTTAACACTTGAATTTTATGTAAAAGAAAAACGGAAGTCATTACCTCCAACGAAAGACATTGGTATGTACAAAACTACCAATGCAGAATAGTGTCAAAGAAATTGAGGAATCTGAAACTTGTGAACTTAGGCAAAGCGTTTTCTAAGCCCAAAAATATATTCATGCTTAAAGGAGGAAAATTTTGTTACAATCCACTTAGACGTTTTTACTCATTTACTAGGTTTCAGCCATTCGCGCGTTGCATTACTCGCTTACTCGATTCCATTCGGTCATGTAACTCGATTACTCGATTTTTACTCAGTCGTGTGTTGTGTGGTATTTCTCATTTTGTTATCTCATTTACGCGATTTGTTTACTCGATTTCAATCAGTGTGTGTTGCAATGTATCTCTCGATGTATTTACTCGTTTGCTCAGTTTGATTCTAGTATTTACTTGATTCATTTACTCGTTTACTCGCATTCAATCAGTCGTGTGTGTTGTAATGTATCTTTCGGTGTATTTACTCGTTTACTCAATTTGTTGACTAGATTTATTTACTCGATTAATTTGCTCGTTTACTCGATTTGTTGACCGGATTCGTTTCATCGTTTACTTGATTCATTTGGTAATTTACTCGTTTACTCGATTTCAATCGGTCGTGTTTGTTGTGTTGTATCTGTCGATGTATTTACTCGTTTACTCAATTTGTTGACTAGATTGATTTACTCGTTTCCTCAATTTGATTAAGTCGTGTGTTGTATTGTATTACTCGATTTGTTATCTCGTTAACACCATTTGTTAATTTCAATACACAACTCGCTTACTCATTTACTCGGTTCCATTCAGTCGTGTATTGATTGTATTTTTCGATTAATTTACTCGTTACTCGTTTTGTTTACTGGATTCATTACTAGATCCATTTACTCGTTTACTCGATTTTAATCAGTCGTGTGTGTTGTAATGTATCTCTCGATGTATTTACTCGTTTACTCAGTTTGATGACTAGATTTATTTACTCGATTTGATTAAAGATACAGTCAAGATCATCTGTGTGTCTTATGGCGGCCGATTCTCTTATAATAAACTCTAATGCCCATCTCGTCTACACTTATCATTATCCCATTCCGCCCCTCTCCCCCCATCCCATCCCCTATTTTTATATATTTTTTATATATTTTAAATCTATGAAATTTAAACATACTTTGTGAGACTTAAATCTGAACCAATAGTCGCCCAAACACAAGTTAAACGAAATTTTGACAAGTTTGTGGTTCGTTTGGTTTAGTCGCCTTATACAAATATAAGATGGTGTTTTCAATCAGGATAAGTAAAGGTCGGTATGAGTTTATGATGTATGGTGTTGCACGGTTAGATTGTTTGAATTGCGGCTTAAAATGCTGCATTTGAATTTCTCTTGTGCAGGTTGTAACGAAAAAATACAATAAAAAAATTTAACTCTCCGGTTCTCCGTAATAAAGGACAATCTTAATATCGGAATTAAGCTCTTAAGCCTTAACCTTTTAATATAAACCGCGCAGTTAGGCACTAAAATTAAAAACTGCAATAAAGGGATTTTGTTTTATGTCAATTTACACAAAAGCTTTAAGCGGTAAGGACAAATGGATTTTTAAAAAGTATTGTATTTACTTTGGTCTTCGAGACCTTTTTTTTTTTTAATCGTTTATTTGCCAAATGAAATGTATAAAAGAAAAAATCGTGCTTCAAAAAGCCACGATACAGCTTAGAAGCTATAAGTATAAAAACTCATTTTATACGACAGACTATAATATTTAACTTGGCCGTTTCGTGAAAAATCCCACTAATAAAATGACTTTTAAAAAAAATAGTTTGTGGCAAAACCTACTACTATGGATATAGTAGCTTCAGTTTAATTATCAGACCTCAAGGTATTAAATACATTTTTGTAAGTTGACGTACTTATGTGTACATTTTTGGGGTATTTTTCTCGATTTCAGATTTTGGATTTCTTTTGAATAAAAATTGCCTCGGGGTGGTTGTTACTCTTTTTAGGGATGTTTTTTTTGGGGGGGGGGAGGGTCTGATTTGGCGGCCCGAGTGACCGACGCAAGTCTTGGCGCACGCAAGCGCCGCCACCGCGTCCGAGAAGCACTTGTTGGACAACACGCATCCGGCGGCGCGTTGGACTAGTCCTCGCGGTCCGCGTCAGTCGTACACCCGGCGTCCGGCGTCCGATCGCGTCTCGCGACTTACCGGTGTAACCGCGTCGAGCCGCGATCATATCGACGCAATCGCCGCGTACTTACCGGTTAGGTCAGGTCCGCTCGGGCGTTTGTGCACACACGAATCGGCCACGCGGACAATTTTCAAACCGGAAGACGTCCGGTCAGCGCACGTTTAACATGAAAGGTAAGTCTTTAAAAATATAATAGCTTTAGTTATGCGACTTCCGCCCATAGGCGCCATTTCAGTTTTTAACTTGGGGGGGGGGGGCTGGAATTTTTTTTGAAATATATATACAAGTAAATATATTTTTGTATTTTAAAACTGTATGCATAACCTAATTTTTTTGGTGGGTCTATGTCTAGTATTTGGGGACTAAGCCCACCCTAGCTCCCCCCGTATTTGTGCCTATGCTTCCGCCTTTTAACACTCTGTGTCCCCCCCTCCAGTCGAGAAAAAAATCTGGACATTTTCCCTCCTCAAAATTGTTGATAAATTCAATGATTTATTAAACATTTTTTTTGGTCGCTTAGTGTAAAAAAAAATCCAAGTTTATAGTTGATAAGCTGGACCAGGAAGTACATACATTTTTGCACCTAAAAAAGTTTTTCATTTTATTTTTAAGTATTATTTTTTTCGTTTTCAAATACGTTAAGATCGATTGAATCGGTAATTCCATAAACTTGGGTTCTATGATAGCTTGGATAGCTTTCCTCCTTATACAGCATCACCGTTTTTAATTGTTTATTTTTATTCTCTCTATACATATAAAACAATGTAACAATTTGCTCATTATGCCTTGCAGCATAGATTGTAAATATTCTTCAATAAAAAAAAAAATGTCATAAACGACACAAGTCATAAAATTGAAATTTTACACTAACCACAAAAAACATCATTACTCCAGGAATTCAACTTATCTTGCACATACACCTATATTTTACTAACTTATTTTTAGGATTTCTGATATTCATAATCCATAGTTTTGAATGGTCTAACTTTGACCACAATTCATTAAATTGTGATAAAACAGAATATTTGACTTGCGTTGTTTTTGCTGGGAATAGAAATTTATCATAAAAAATTAAGTCAAGAAATAAAAAAATAAATAAATAAATGAACACAGGAATGTTATTAATATTATTGCACAAACTGGTATTATTTTTTTTAACAAAATAAATGTAGTTTTTACACAAAATACTTAACTACGTATATAATTATCAAATTTGACAAAAAGATATTTTTGAAAAATCGGTGACTTATGTCGTTTTGGAAATGATGAATTCGATTGTAACCACAAAAAAATCAATAAAATAAACAATATCATTATTTCATTGGTACTACGCTGTGCTATGCTGGAGATACCGAACATATTAAAAAGTATGGCGAAACCTTAAAATATGTAAAACAAATATTGAAATTGGATTCTTTAAAATGTAATTTACATATTTTATAGCTTATCTAGCTATGTTCAGACCGTTCAATAAAAACGTGCAAATGCACAAACTTCCGGACCCTATTTGGTAAGGTTAAAATTATTTTTCATTAAATTAAATTTCATATTACTATGAAAAATACTGGTCAAGTTGAATGTAGTTTGATAAAATCAAAATAAAATCATTTTAAATGTACCCAAATACATTTACTAATAAGCATTTTTCAATCTGTCAACTTAATATTATGTACTATGGTGGCACAAGTTAAGACTGACACAATCGAACAGAGTGCAAATATTTCTTTGACCGTTTAGATTTAGAAATAACCAGAAAAAGTTGCATTTTGGTCTTAAAATAAACTTGGACAACTTTTTTTTTTGTCAAACTTGCTCCTATTGTGATTTCAAGCTTTGTTATGTATTTACTTAAGTATTTGACAAGTAAGACCTACAAGAGAACTTCAATGCGACTATTGCCAAGTATAATAAAATGTACTGTTTACAAGACAATAGGCATGCGTGCTACTATATTATATCTGTACACAAAAGTCAACGTATGATCGAACAATGAACTGGTTTAAGACGGAATGGACAACGCCAGTGGTTCTCAAACTTGTGTGTGAATGTCTTCAACGTCGACGATCGGGTCATCGCCAAAGGTCGTGTCGGTCGAATGTGGGCTTTCATAACAATCGTATAACAACGTGTTTTGCCAAAAGTTTAAAGTATATATACATATTTAGTTAGCTGTGCACACCGCACGAATACAACATATCTGAACAGTAGAATACATATGGGTAATTACAAAAATATTATGACTCCAGCCCGAGCCGTCTGCCTATACATATTAGTTTACCGGTCAAGCCGAGGGTTTAAATTATTTAGTGGAATAATATTATACATACCTAGTAATCTTACTGGCTTAATTAGACCGTTCCCGAACTGCAACGTTGTTGGCAATATCTGTGTATGGGCAAACAACTGTAATATGAGTACTAAGTAATATGTAATATATTTTATTTACAACTACAATGTTATCCGGTTCGATGGACGAAATTTATATCACAAGTGAACCACAGTTTCACACGCCACTTGAACCGAACAAATTTAGGTTAAATAAATGAAATCAGGTATGATGATCATGGCATAATATTATGTTAACTCATATTGTTTTTAACAAAGGGATTAAGCGTGCAAGCCGGGAGTACCCAAAATAAGTGCGTAAAAATCACAACCGATTTTTTGTTTACCAAAAGTAAGATAAACGGTAGTGGTAAATCGCGTTGACTGATTTCTTTCAGAGTGTACCGTTAAGAACTATTTAGAAACACTCGGTTGGGGTGCCTTGTAGTAGTCGAAGCGAATGCGAGATGAAATCGACCGGAAGTAATTCATAAATATATATATGACTTGGAGTGTTTAAGTACAGCTGTAGGTAAAGTTTAGCAAACAAGAGCATCGCCCTCGCACAATATGGCATTTCGACAAGTTTCCAACGTCCAACTGTCATGAACAAGTAATTAGGAAGTCCGACAAACGTTCACATATGTACCTATAATAGCCGTTATCGATGACCTTACCAAACGTTGTGTTGATTTGAACTTTAACGCCAAATCCATTAAATCTATCCAAACGACTAATATTGTTGTCAAATACTAATCGCTGTTGACTTAATCTCGCTGTCATTAATCCGCTCGAGAAATCGTTTAAGCCACTTAAATAGTATAAAGCTGCAAGTAAAATATTTATGATGAAACCGCAAAAGCAAAACACAACACCAAAAGCAATTTATTGTCAAAGTCGAGCGTTTTTTTTTTTTTTAATTTTCATCAAAACATTTTATAAGGTTTCTAAGTGCCTTAGACAGCAACTAATATTGTAAACGATATTGCCAATTGCCCACTTCTGTTGGTTGGTTAGGTTGAGATTATTATTGTTTTGTTTATTTTTTCTACCACTTAATAAAACTCGTTTTTGAGAAATTCGTTCAAAAACTTTCCATAAAGTCGCATTGTTTGATTTATGAGATTACAAGTTTATTACGCTGTACCTTTTATCCTCTTGGTGACTTTTCTTTTTATTTTGTGTTTATATATATATATATATATATATATATATATATATATACATATATATATTATAGTTTTCAAAGATTTCTATCTTACTATAAACGTTGCTTTTAAAAACGCGCATATTGCAGATTCGCGATAATCAGAAACTTTGAAAAAATTGTAATTGGAGTATATATATATATTTTTTTTGGTTCCAAGAGTAAGTTCAATGTGCTGTGAAAACATTTTGACAAAATTGTTGTTTGGAGATAAAAGAGATTATTGCGTTTGTGCGGGCAACAGATTTTATTAAATTTTTTTTGTTTAAGGTTCTCAAAAGCCGGCTCACTATCTATACTTAGACAATATAGTCGTGCCTATATATATTTTAAGGAATAGTCACTAGAAGCTTTTAAAATTCCCAGGCGGTCGTCCGTCAGCGTGTTTCGGCAGGATTAGATTGAAGATAAAACATCAAAGCCGGTCGTCCCACGACACTCGCACAATGTTTGACAAAAAAAAAATTAACAGAAAAGACAAAAAGAAAACAGTAGGGAATTAAAAAAAACAAAATATTTAGAACGGTTTGGTGTTTTTTTTGTCAGGTTACCTAAAGAAAGGGATGTGTGGGAAATATAGTCATACTGTGTTATATAATGTATCATACTTCCTCCCATCCTCAACTTAAGGCTCTGATAACTTTAAAAGTAATATACAAAATTGGTTTTCGACCGGTGCAATTTTCAGCAAATTATTTATATTTTAAAAAGGCAATTCATTATAATATACTTTTACATTTAAGTTTGTAAAGAGCGTTTAATGGTTTAGTTACATTTTTAAAATATACAAAATATAGTATAGATTGTATAGATTTTTATTGTTGTGTAATTCCACGTTAAAACATCAAATGTACACCAAACAGTTTAATCAGTTTGAGAACTTGAAAATATGAAATTAAAATATTATAAAATAATAAAAAAAAACCCATGTTTGTGTATAGTTTTATATTGGTGCATTTAATTAAAGGCTTACATACTGTAATAATAATACATAATATGGTCTATATGGATATAGTTTTTGACAAAATACACGGACTATGTGTCTTCGGTTTCTGTTACACTTTCACTCTGAAAAAAAATGAAAAAATAAATACTAATATAAAAGTGTGAACAAAGGTTTTTGAAAAAAATATATAAATGACTTATGTATACTTACGCTATGTGGAGTATTCACTGGACCTGCGGCGAGCAACAAAGAAAAAGAAAATTCATTATACGCTTAATTTAATTAATCTTTAATGAAGAGTGTCGCATTCCTATGTAACAGAGAATTTTAATTTTCATGAGTTTAAAATTGAAACTGATTTGAGCGAAAATCAATTAAATTCGAATATTATGTTTGAAAGTGAAACAATATTTTGCTCGGACCGGTTTAAAGTAAAGTAAAAAGAAATTTAAAATCTCGGCTTAAGTAGCTATGTCGGATGATTGTTTCTTTTTTTTTTTAAGATATACGTTTGTTAACACATATAAACGGATATACTATTTATAATATAAAGCTGTAATGTTATCAATCAATGAAAAAAAAAATATAGTATAATACCTGGCGTTTCTGGCGTATCCACTAAAAAAAAAACAAAAAAACTATTAAAAATACATATATTTGGTCGAAATTAAAAACTAAAAATCGCCTATATCTCTAATGTTATTTGCCTAGAGTTAAAAAATAGAATAAACATTACAGTACCTGAAGAAGGAGTACCTGGCACATATGCAAAAAAAAAATGTATCACCATTATTATCACTTTTACATATATGTTTCAAAATTCGTAGAGTTGGTTACATTTGTCTCTAAATGATTAAAAAACTATAAACGCGATTGTCAAATGTGATTGTTTGTGTGTAAAAGTATTTTTAGTTTTTGTGAGTCTAATACACTGGACAAACGTGTGGTGGGCATTATTTAGTAATTCCTAATTTATCTTAATTACCCGAAATGTAAGCTGAATTGTCACCTAAACTGTCTGAAAACAATTGACAACACATTAAGTACTCGGATAGCAATAGATTTAATGTTTATTAACGGATAATGTTTAATTTAATCATAATATTATTTTACATGCTTATTGTGCGTTCTACGAGACAGGGAGAATTTGTCTCTGTATTCTTAAAATGTTATAAATGACATTGTTAAAGATTTGTTTGTGTGTAAAATATGTATCCTTAGTTTTTATTAATAATTGCAAAAAACTATTTTAAGCATGTTTTTATCAAAAGTTTACAGGGTGGTCTGTTTTAACTACACTTATTGTCCGAGGAAATCAATGTCTTACGTTGAATGGATCACCCTGTATAATTATTGTATATAATATATTTTATTTTACATTAATAATTAACAAAGTAAATTGTATAATACCTAACGCTGTTCTAATTGACGTATCGACTAAAACAAACGTAGAATACAGTTTATCAAATTTGGTTATTTTTGTAATACCGATAATAGTGACACTCAATTATGTAATACTATTGTCTATAACTAAACTCAAGAGCAAGTGTCCTAAACATATAGACTCGAATTCAAATAAAATTAATTATTTCCGTTTTAATAAAATGGTATTTACCCATTAAGGATGATTTAATGCGTCGGGATAGAAGTGACGAACCTGAAAATGTTGACATAAATCATAAATAAACATTAAACTATAAAGTTTACATATTATGTCACCATTATTATCACTTTTACATACCGGTTTTGGTTTTCGTATTGATTTTTGGAACTTTTGGTAGATTTGTTTCTTCTAAAAGATTAAAAAATTATAAATGAAAATTTATTATAAAAAAAAAATGTCTTACATTGAATGGATCGCCCTGTATAACTAATGTATATTTTAAAACCATTATTTTCAACAATTAAATGATTTTAATAATTAAGCGAAATTCTATAATACCTGAGCGTCTTTTAGTTGGAACGACTCAACAAAAATATACAATACAGTTTTTAAGATTTTGTTAGCTTGGTTACACCGTTATTATAGTCATACTCGATGATTATACATGTGTCTGTTAATATATTTAAGTATAGTAGGTACTTAAAGCGTATAGACTTGAATTTTAAATAAAATTAATTATTTCTGTTTTAATAAAATAGTAATTACTATGTAAGGGTGGTTTATGGCGTCGGAGCCGAAGTGCTAAATCTGAAAATATTGACATTCTTTAAAATTGATTGTTCGTTTATAGTTGTATAAAACAACAGTATACCTGTAATAGTGATTGGTTTTGTTGGTGTCTCTAAAAAAACCCATCGACGACCGATTAATTGTATTACAGTCTCTACACGTTAAAACTTAAAGTTAAGGACGAGGTAGGGAATACAAATCTAGTCGACTTTTTTTTCACCAAGAATAAAAGTGTTAAAAGTATATATATATAGCTGCGAATAGATGGCATAGTGGGGACTAAGCACCTTGTAGAGAGGGAGGTCGCAGGTCTAAAGGAATTATTATAACACAAAGTGATATCAAAAGTGTACAGGGTGATCCGTTTTAACTAAATTTCTTGTCCGAGGAAATCAATGTCTCATGTTGAATGGATCACCTTGTATAATTATTGTATATATTATCTTTATTTCAAATTTCAAATAAGGTCAAATTTAAGGATTTATATTAAAGAAACCGTTTTTATCAAATGTTTTTTTTTAAATTATATTTTAATAGAATCGGCTTTTCAGATTTAAAAAGCGGCCAAGATCTTACTGTCGATAATGTAAAATTATAACTTTTTTCTTAATTACTTGGAAAGTCTGGTGAATTGTTATCTGAACTATCTGAAAATAATTGACAACACATTAAGTACTCAGATCTTACTGTCGATAATGTGAAATTAAAATTTTTTTTCTTAATTACCTGGAAAGTCTGCTGAATTGCCATCTGAACTATCTGAAAATAATTGACACCACATTAAGTACTCGGATAGCAATAGCTTTTATGTTTATTTATGGATCAGCAATTATTATTGTTTTAGTAAATTTGGTGTATCGATAAATCAAAAGAATGTTATTTAATAATAATACTATTTAACCATAATACTATTTTACAAGCTTATTGTGCGTTATACGAGACAGGGAGAGTATTCTTAAAATGTTATAAATGTCATTGTTAAAGATTTGTTTGTGTGTAAAGTATGTATTCTTAGTTTTGAATAATTATTGCACAAAACAATTTTAAGCATGCTTTTGTCAAAAGTTTACAGGGTGGTCTGTTTTAACTACATTTCTAGTCCAAGGAAATCAAAGTCTTACGTTGAATGGATCACCCTGTATAATTATTGTATATTATCTTTATTTCAAATTTCAAATTTTTTTATAGTTGATTACTATTAATAAATAAATGAAATTATATAATACCTGGAGCTGTTCTAAATGACGTATCGACTAAAACAAACGCAGAATACAGTTTATGAAATCTGGTTATTTTCGTAATACCAATTATAGTGACATTAAATTATTTAATAATATTGTCTATAAGTATATTAAGAGCAGGTACACATCTAAACACATCGACTTTTATTCACATAAAACTAATTATTTCCGTTTTAATAAAATAGTATTTACTCATTAAGTGTGGTTTAGAGCGTCGGATCCGAAGTGCAGAATCTGAAAATATTGACGTAAATCATAAAGGTTATAGAGGTTACAATAAGATAATGAGATGGAGAGAAAGAGAGAGAGAGAGATTTGTGGAGGGATTAAAATCCAGTCAATATTTAAAAACAAGTAAGTGACTGTACAATGTTTTGAGTTGTCATAAACACATATTTGTTATTGACATTCTGTTGACGTCATGAGCTATGTATGCAAATTGCTTACTTACGTTTTTGTCTTACATTGCTAGTCGAATTTGATGGGTTTTCCACTGATAAACATAAAAAATAAGGTCACATTTAACAATTGATATTTAATTAACCGTTTTTTTATCAAATATATTTTTAAAAAATTTTTTTTTAAAGAATCGGCTTTTAACATTAAAAACGTTGCCAAGATTTTACTGTCGATAATGTGAAATAATTTTTTTATTTTTCCTAATTACCTGGAAATTCTGTTGAACTGATATCTAAACTATCTGAAAATAATTGACAACACATAAGTTCTCTGATAGCAACAGTTTTGACATTTTCATGTCTTTGCTCTGGCACATAACCGAAAAAAGCGTTACCAAAAATGCGTTCTTTACGAAAGCGTTACAAAACCATTACAGGGGGGGGGTAGGAGATATTGGTAGGAGATAGGGGGTGGGAGATAGGAGGTAGGAGATAGGGGATGGGAGATAGGGGTAGGAGATAGGGGGTAGGAGATAGGGGTGGGAGATAGGGGTGGGAGATAAGAGATATGTTGTACGTTCAACGTTCAAATTAGAACTAAATGATAAATTCAAAATAAATTAAGGGCCCAAATTCTCTATGTTAAGATACTTTTGGCCAGATAATATGAAAATTTAGATTAGTTGTAGAATTATAATGAAAAAAAAATATTCCATGGAGCTTCCCGTTACAGCATATGGCCAAGGAGATTAAAAAATAATGTACAAGCTAATATTTTAGTGTTTTCATAAAATCTGGCTTGAAACAATTCGACCTGTTAAATTACATTAAATTTTTTTTTAATAATAGTCGAACCATTGTGAACACAATATCTATGAATTGTTTTAAGCCAGATATTAAACATTACAATATTAGCCAGAAACTTGATGTTTTAATATACCATCTTGTAACTGCTTCTTAATATACTATATCATTATCTATAATTCCACCACTACTCTAAATTTATTCGGTACTTCAACGAGACATGAAAATGCTCTTTCGTGGTTGCAGACTCGGCTGAAAAACTTTTTTTATGCTTATAATTGGATTAGCAATTATTGTTTTAGTAAAGTTGGCAGGTAAACATTTTAAGCATGCTTTTATCAAAAGGGTTCTTAAGTAAATTGTATAATACCTAATGCCGTCCTAATTGACGTATCGGCTAAAACAAACGTGGAATACAGTTTATCAAATTTGGTTATTTTTGTAATACCGATAATAGTGACACTCAATTATGTAATACTATTGTCTATAACTATACTTAGAGTATGTGCCCTAAACATATAGACTTGAACTCAAATAAAATTAATTATTTCCGTTTTAATAAAATAGTATTTACCCATTAAGGCTGATTGAACGCGTTGGGATAAAAGTGATGAACCTGAAAATGTTGCTATAAATCATTAATTATTCAAAATTATTCGTTAGTACTAATACAAAACCAAAATATAATTGTATTAATAATCGTTATTAGTTCTATATCAGCTACAATTTATTGTTAAATTGTTAGACCTAAGAAAGCAACTCGATGATGGGGTGGTGTTAAGCAATAGATCCTGAGATTGTTGGGGTAACGCATTGAAAGAAAAGATGTACAGGTCCGTGAAAATGGAAAAGCTGCACAAAACTAAAGAATTATGAGGTTACAATAACACAATGAGATAGAGTGAGATTTGTGGAAGGATTAAAAAAGGAATTTAGTCCATAAGAAGTTGTATTATACAGGGAATACAGTCAATATTTAACAACAAGTAAGTGACTGTACAATTTTTTGAGTTGTCATAAACACATACCTATTTATTTTTGACATTCTATTGAGGTAATGAGCTATGTATGCAAATAGCTTACTTACGTTTTTGTCTTACACTGCTAGTCGAAATTGAGGGTTTTTTCTCTAATAAACATAACAAATAGGGTCAAATTTAAGGAGTAATATAAAAGAAACCATTTTTATCAAATTTTTTTTTAAATTATATTTTAATAGAATCGGCTTTAAAAAGCGGCCAAGATCTTACTGTCGATAATGTGAAATTATAACTTTTTTTCTTAATTACTTGGAAAGTCTGCTGAATTGTTATCTGAACTATCTGAAAATAGTTGACAACACATTAAGTACTCAGATCTTACTGTCGATAATGTGAAATTATAATTTGTTTTCTTAATTACCTGGAAAGTCTGCTGAATTGCTATCTGAACTATCTGAAAATAATTGACAACACATTAAGTACTCGGATAGCAATAGCTTTTATGTTTATTTATGGATCAGCAATTATTATTGTTTTAGTAAATTTGGTATATCGATAAATCAAAAGAATTTTATTTAATAATATTGTATACAGTTTAGTTTAACCATAATACTATTTTACAAGCCTATTGTTCGTTATACAAGACAGGGAGAGTATTCTTAAAATGTTATAAATGTCATTGTTAAAGATTTGTTTGTGTGTAAAGTATGTATTCTTAGTTTTGAATAATTATTGCACAAAACAATTTTAAGCATGCTTTTGTCAAAAGTTTACAGGGTGGTCTGTTTTAACTACATTTCTAGTCCGAGGAAATCAATGTCTTACGTTGAATGGATCACCCTGTATAATTATTGTATATATTTATCTTTATTTCAAATTTCAAATTTTTTTATAGTTGATTATTATTAATAAATAAATGAAATTATATAATACCTGGAGCTGTTCTAAATGACGTATTGACTAAAACAAACGTGGAATACAGTTTATGAAATTTGGTTATTTTTGTAATACCGATAATAGTGACACTCAATTATGTAATACTATTGTCTATAACTATACTTAGAGTATGTGCCCTTAACATATAGACTTGAATTCAAATAAAACTAATAATTTCCGTTTTAATAAAATATTATTTACTCATTAAATGTGGCTTAGAGCGTCGGATCCGAAGTGCTGAATCTGAAAATATTGACATAAATCATAAATAGGTACTTTTAAATTGTTTGTTTTTACTTATACAACACCAAAATATACTTATATTAATAATTGTTATTAATTCTATATCAGCTGCTATTTATCGTCAAATTGTCAGGCTTAAGGAAGCAACGCGATGGTGGTATGGTGTTAAGCAATAGGTCTTGAGAATGATGGAATAAAGCATTGAAAGAAAAGATGAACAGGACTGTGGAAATAGAAAAGCTGTACAAAACTAAAGAATTATGAGGTTGCAATAAGATAATTAGATAGAAATAGAGAGAGATTTGTGGAGGGATTAAAAAAGAAATTTAGCCTATAAGAAATTTTACTATAAAGGGAATACAGTCAATATTTAAAAACAAGTAAGTGACTGTACAATGTTTTGAGTCGTCATAAATACATATTTGTTATTGAAATTCTACTGACGTCATGAGCTATGTATGCAAATTGCTTACTTACGTTTTTGTCTTACATTGCTAGTCGAATTTGACGGGTTTTCCACTGGTAAACATAAAAAATAAGGTCACATTTAACAATTGATATTAAATTAACCGTTTTTTATCAAATATTTTATTTTTAAAGAATTGGCTTTTAAGATTTAAAACGGTGCCAAGTCCTACTATCGATAATGTGAAATTATTATTTTTTTTCTTGACTACCTGGATTGTCATTTGGACTATCTGAAAATAATTCACAACACAATAAAAATTCAGATAGAAATAGTTTGTATGTTTATTCATGATCAGCAATTATTATTGTTTTAGTAAATTTGGTGTATCGATAAATCAAAAGAGTTGTATTTAATTATATTGCATACAGTTTAATTTAACCATAATATTCTTTTACATGCTTGCTTTAAAAAGTACAATATCATTAATTAAGGTAGCTATAATTACCTTGTGCATTATACGAGACAGTGACGAATAATAGTGTAGTGTAAATAAATATTTTTAACATATTTTATATATTTTTTTGAAAATATGCGATAAAACGATAAGACCAACCAGATGATCTACGGTATACGACTTAAGTGTTCATACTGTTTTTGAATAACGAGTTCGCATTATAAAATAAGCTTGACAAAGTATACCGCAGTAAAATTTTGCCAAAAAAAAAAATTGTTTGTTTAAAAAACAAACCCAATGTAACGTTTGAAAAAAAAACATGCAAAGTTGTATCTGTTTCTCGTACTTAATAAAACACTGTAAATTATTATGTACTGTAATTGTACTATATTTTGTAAGCCTATGCGATTTAGTTGAAAACAATTGGCAACCAGTGTTGAACAAATAGAATTAGTATACTAGCTCATGTGTGTTAATGTGTAAAGAAAAAAACAACTAGATTTGTAAACGGCAAAACAGAATAACACGTTAAAAATACTAAAACTATACAAGAAACGCTTTTGCAATACCTAACCGCCCTTTCCCTCCTGTCTTAACTTTTAAACTTCAATAACTTAATTTTTTTTTTGTCCAAAACCGGTTATGGGCCAGTGAAAATGTTCGGTATTCTTAATTAAAAAAAAATTTAATAATATAATATTATTTAAGTATCAAAAGTTGATATAAAAATAATTAATCCAATTAAAAAAAAATGCCATTTTCTAATTAAACCTTATAGGACATACATTGAGTGGGCCAGAATGAGTATTGATTTAAGTATTTGACGTTTAAAAATATTGATGATTTTTATTAACTTTATACTTTAATTGAATCCTGTTATAGCTGTTTATCAGCTACACACCATCGTATGTGGTCAAGGTCGACATAGTCAATTCGATTGCACTCGATTCTCGTCGTAAGGACGTTAAAGTTTTTAATAATTCAAAACTTAAGTAGTCCAGTATCGAGTATTTTCTTATGCTTACTGTAAACGATTATACTCACAGTCAATACAGACTGAATGCTGGATCCGTAAGCTCTTCCCGTTGCCTCGATGCTCAACAGGTATTTTAGGAACTCAATAGGTAACCGGATTTCCGGCCATTTGATCAATATATTATGCTCCTAACAAGCATCCTGCTACATCAGGCCTCTATTCCTTACATTACTGCCGCCGTGATCCATTATATTTTCTTTTGTGTCCATAATAATCAAACGGATATCTTCATACATACGCACATACCTACTTATATAGTATACAGTACAGGGCAATTCATTACTTTTAGAGTTATTAAAGTTCAGTTAAGTAATTATCCAAAACTGGTTATCGATCAGTCAAAATATTCAGCGAATTATTCCTTAATTAAAAAGTTAATTAAATAATACCACACGTTACCGTTTATATGTCAAAAGTGGATGGAGCTTTGGCAAATTCTAAAAAAGGGAAATATTTAGTAATTTTTTTAATAATATTGTAAAACAACATCAGAGTAATTTTCAAGAAGGAACACTACAGAAATGCAATTATTTTGAGATATATTGTGTGTCATATCCTTAATGAATCATTCTGTATAGTTGTACCGCGTTCGGTCAAGACACTTATATTAATTTATTATAAATTGGAAACTTTTTCGTTGTTTCTCTAAAACTTAAACAATTAAAAACACCATGTAATGCCTATAAATAATTGTATCATACTTTACTGGACTGATAAGGTAATACCAAACAAGTAAATCAAAGGGAAAGTATCGTTCTGTTATAACGTACCTATAATATATATGAAGAGGTTTTCATTGCTGGGCTGAATGACCTAAGATTTAGATGATAAATAACCGAAACCCATAACCTCATGGCCTCCTGTAAATCAAAACTTAGGTACCTACGCTTATCGTTCATACTGGAATTATTCTGTGGCAATGAAAATGGCGTGCAGATAGTTCTTTGACAGCCAAGTGATGAAAATGTATCTGAGATAAATACTACAAGTTAGATATCTTGGCTGTCAAACAATAATTGTTTGGATGCATAATTCAGTGTTGATAAGACGTATGGTTTTAAACGAGAAAAAAAATGTTTTGCTCGCGTTTAAGGGCAGACCAATACGGTTTGGTGTCTTCAAAACGAATGCGTTTAAAATAAGCATATTTTAATTAATTTTTACTTTATGGCACGTTATTTTTAATTTAAATTTAATACTCGCATAAAACGATAACGCCTTGCAGTATACATTTTATATTTATGCATTTTATTTTTATGCTTTTTGACGGTTAAAATATGACCTATTTTATTTGCAAAAAAAACACTTGTTTAAATTGTTTACAATACTTGTTTTGATCAAAATATACTTATATTTTTTTTTTTTAGTTCAGTCATCAAAATAATAATATTATTTTTTGACTATTGTCAATTCTTTTTGTAATTTCAATTTAAACGATATTTGATATATTTTTATTATTGCTCGTTTAACGAAAGTTTATTTGTTTGTATGTATAAACATTTGTTTATTTACAGTTAAATTAAAAATACTTATTCAAATTGTACATATTAGTATTAATATGTACAAGTTATGGCAACATGACACAACCGATTCCGCGCCAAGACCAATTATTTCAAAAACGTTTTGACTTAATCGTTTCTTACCAGAATGGAAAACAATTAATAGCTTGTTCGAACTCGCCGATTTCTTACAATATATTAGATTTGCGTATTTTTTAAATAATTTATTTAACGATGTCGAACGTCCCCGTTGACTTGGCATATAAATTTACTATACAAATTTACCAAAAGAACATAAAATCGTTTTCCACTTGAGCATTTTTTCAATGCTCAAATCCATAATACATAAATTTCTATTGCAAAAACAATTATGGCCAAGAGTTATTGTTAATTTTTTTTTCTAATTTGGTATAGGTTTCTTTGTACTTTTCGAAATTTGTTGTAATTGGCCAAAGTCCAAGTCGCACAATGCATATTATTATTTGTTTAACATGTTCAGCGATTAGCTGTTACTCGGTGTTTATTCGATAGCTAATCGTTCATAAATCTTAACAGGTCACACGGCTGCATATGTTTTTAAACATATCCCGCGGTATGGCTTTAATTACATAAATATATATTAAAATGTTTATTCAATAGAAATGTTTATCGATAAACAGTCGGAAAGCGTTGAAGTTTATTACAAAAAAATCTTCAAGTGAAACCTGGTACGGTCTTGTTTGGGATAGTGTATGTATTAAGGGAAAACCAATAATACTTTAATATAAATTGGATAAATAATTATAACAGACCATAACAAAATCGACTGATAAGTGATGATTGATAAGAGAATCATCTGATAACACAGATGTATTTATAATAAACTAGATTGCTATGTGTACTAAAGTAAACCGTGTAAACCCAAGTATTTCCCTTTTTATTGTATGTTCTTAGAACGACTTTTGTTACTAAAGTGAAAATGTTGACCTGTCAATCGCCAGTTTTGAGTAGTTATTTTTTAATGTTATTAAAGTTTGAAAGTTAGGACAGGAGGGGAAGTGTGGTTGAGTGATAGGCGTAGATAATAACACTGCACTTCACCTTTTCTCGCATGTTAAACATTAGTAACTTTAATGGAAACTAATCAAAATTGGTTATCGACCGGCTAAAATGTCGAGCAAATTATTTTATTGATTGTAAAAAGTCAATTAAATATAATATATGTTACCATGAAAGTTTCAAAAGTCGTTGGACTTATGGAAAATACTAAAAAATAAAGATATTTGGGAATTTTATAGGGAAAAAAAACTACTAAGTAATATAAATAAAAATGTTTTAAAAAAGAAAACCTACAGAGACAATGAGTGCTGTTATTGGCGTTTAAATGGATCACTCGGTATATAAAAAGTAATCGAAATTGAAATAAATAAGAAAAGATTGTTCCGACGTATTGTCATCCCGTCCATATACCAATATTAAACCCGTTTACAAAAAAAAAAAAAATATGATTACAGTTTCAATTTAAGATTTAACGGTTCGTTTGGTAAAGTGTTTGCCGAGTCGGTACAAATCTTTTGGATGAAAGGACGTTCGCCGTTTCATTATTATTATTATTATTGTCCCTTTTTAGTTTGATTTTATTTAGACAATTTTATAACACTATTATGTTTATCGCCGGCGATAGTATTTTATTGCCGGTGACATAAAAGTCGCGATAGTAAAAAAATAGCTTTTATTTACATTTATTTTGTTCGTTTTCGTTCCATCGAAATTTTTATTGTTTTAACTGGTTTTTAAGCGTCGTCGCCCTCGTGAAGTCTGATCGGTAATTTTCGCCAACGCTTTACATGGTACTGGATTCACTGAAAATTGAAAAATGGCCCGACCTGGGAGGCAGCCGTTTTGTGTACCAATTTCATGGAATGTAAAAATGCTATATGTTAGTATTTTGCATGATACTTGTTAAAATGCTGAGGTTAAGCGATGATGATAATACCTTCATTTAGAACCTTATATCACGTGTTTACAACTGTTATCACTGCTTATCAAAATTATAAGTCAAACTGATAGCACAGAGCCACAGGTATACACATTATTATATACACATATAAATCCTCCATTAATGGCCGACGTCAACTTCTATTCTTATCACTAGTTAACAATATAGTTTATTATATATACCTGTGTAGAAATGTTAGGTTAGGTTCTGATAACACGATGATTATATTATGATGTTAACACCGTAATATATTTGATAAATCACAGAAAAAACAATAACTGTTCATAAAATGGCAGCCTCCTACAGGCAATACGCTTTCCGTGCATTGAGTTTAGTGTATTGGATTGGATTTTTCGCCTTAACTATAATGCAATACGTTGCGATCGGATTTCCGTTTGTTGAGTGACTGGGATTTATTACAAAAAAAAAAAAAAAAATGCAACAAAACCCATACACGTGTTGAAATTAATAGTTTGCCGGATTGGCATTATTGATCGTGCGCTATTAATAGGTTGGACTATAAAAAATTGTTATTACTCTGGCTGGAATCTAAAATACCACTTTAATGGATAACGGGCACGTTGTAAAATATGCAAAATTTTAGCTAGTTGATGTTGTTGATATTTTTCCCGTTTGGACCCACGGTAACAGCTGTTTAACTGTGTTGGACTATTCGGTTGCTTCCGAAAAAAAAAATAT